GGGGTGAGGGCAATGGGAGAGAAGGAGAACTGCTGGAAACCGATCATTGTCACTAATAGAGAAATTTTGAAAAGGGAATCAGGAAGGCTAGTCAACCTTAATTGCTCTGAATGGTCAGAGCTAATCACTCATTGTTTAGTTGAGACATTGGTAGTTAAAGCAACCTCCACCTGTTAATCATATGTAAATTCTTGCTGATTGTCTATTATTGGAATTTCCTGCCTAAAGGATATGGGTGTATCTAATAACCTTAATAAAAGGGAAACCAAAGCCAAAGCAGAGGTAGTCCTCCCCTTAGAGGTGGATTCCCTCCCACCTAGTTTTCCATTTCCCAAATTAATTCTTTTCTAGCCTCTCTTCATTTTGCACGCAGCCTTTTCTAGAACCCAAACCCTGAACAGGAACACTGAACCACACGGGATGTGAAAGGGGTCCCACAGAGAACATGTGTAATATTTTCAGCAATAAAGATTAAAAGAATAATAAATAAATATTTATACAAGAATAAACCATGTTCCGCACACTCTCAACTGTAAACCTACTTTTACCCATCCCTGTATAATATAGAATGCTAGTTTGTGATAGTGTGCAGTGAAGATAAATAAAACAGAACGTATAGGTTGTGTTAGAAAAGAGAACAAGGGAAATTTCTGACCAGGTTCCATATCAGGAAGTCAGACCAAATACTTAAAATAGTTAACCATTCAGGTAGATATCTGAGGGAACAGCATTTCATCCAGAAGTCTATGACTGACATACTAGTCAAAGACTGTGGAGTAATCCAGTGTAGCTTGACTAGAGTGAACAAGAATACAAGCTCAGAGACCAGAGGGACTGACCAGTGAGTGCAGAGTATCAAAATGTGGGTCCTGTACAGCATACTGGATGGAGTTGAGTTTAATTGAGATGGGGAATATTTTTTCTTTTTCTTTTTTTTAAATAAATCTTTATTGTTCATATTATTACAGGTGTTCCTCCTTTCCACCCCCCCCCCCATAGCTTCCCTCCACCTGAGTCCCCACTCCACCCCATGCCCTTATCCTCACACCACTGTCTTCATCCATAGGTGTAAGATTTTTGTCCAATTGCTTCCCACATCCCTCATACTCCCTTTCCCCTGAGAATTGTCAGTCCACTCCCTTTCTATGTCCCTGATTCTATTGCATTCATCAGTCCATTCTGTTCATCAGATTTTCTTATTCACTTGATTTTTAGATTCACTTGTCGGTAGGTATGTATTTGATGTCATTTTGTTGTTCATAATTTTGAGATGGGGAAGATTTTCAATCAGCCTGAATTTTTTGTGTGGGCAGATCATGGGAGTAAACATAGGAAAGCACTTTCTACCCATGATCATAAATAAGAGGAATGAGATCTTCCTGTGGGAGTTTGTAAAATCAAAACATAATAAATCAAAAGGTATGTAAACAAAATGCCACCTGAGGCTATGGAGCTGCTAGTGGAGTTGTATGCACTGGGATATCCTATTTGTCTTCTACTTATTCCATTGGTGAGGGACAGTTTCTAACTTTAGGGCTAAGGGTATGGCTGAATACACACCTGTCACTGGTCGGAGGAGATTGAAAACAGTTTATGTCACATATACTCACAGCCCAGGGTTGCAGAATGCTCATGCCATGCCCAAACACGAGGGTTACACTTGGGATAGAGTGAACAACCAAGAACTTTGGGAGGCAACCAAGAGGGTGAGATGCCCCTGGTCCCCATGGGAGTGTGTGCAGGGCTTGAGTAACTCTGCAGGGTGGCAGGAAAATGAAGCAATTACTCATAGATAAGCAGGGCCTGTGCCTGGTCCCTGTGATAAGAAGAGGTGTTTGACTAGGGTACCTTATCCGTGGGAGCTGAGTAGGGAAACTTGTGGTTAGGCCAACGCATGCCCTCTTGTAAAGGCACATCTATATTGGGTCTTAATTTTAGTTCTTATACCAGAAAGAGTAAGCAATGGAGCACAGAGAATGTAGGAATTACATTTATAAAATTAGAAAATATCTATCCTCATTCTATCTGCCAGCCCTTATCTGTTAGTTAATTACATCAGATGTTACATCATTTTGATCAGAGCCAATAGATCTCTGCTGATTACTTACTGCTTTTAATTTAGATGTAAAATGAGAGGGAAGGCAATTCCTGTTACAAAGAACCTAATGGAATGTAATCTGTAATACAGATTAAGCACATCGCTAATAATTCAGGGGTCAAAGAGTTATTGGCTGATTATAAAATTAGCATCTTAGCAAGAAAGTAAAATCTTATGTAAATATATATTTTTTATATAAAAGTGCCTGAAAGCTGATAGCAAAAACCTCTCAACTTGACTTTCTTATGTAAAAATGTATTTACCAAGCTTAAAAGCAAATAGCTTTCCTTTCTTTGCGTTACATTATCTACTTACCCCAGGTGGGAATGTGGTAAGTTAGAATAGGAAACCCTAAGTCTTTGCATTGGTTTTGGATTTAAAAGACTAAGAGCACCTTTTCCTTCTCAGCTGCTCCTGCTTGTGGTTCAGAGACTCTGCTTGTTTTGTGGTTTTCTTTTAAAGCATTTTTATACATTTTAGAGAGGAAGGGAGAAGGAAAGAGGGATGGAAACATCAATGATGAGAATCATTGATTGGCTGTCTCCTACACGTCCCCCACTGGGATTCAAGCCTGCAACCCGGGCATGTGCCCTTGAAAGTAATCAAACCCGGGACCCTTCAGTCCCCAGGCCAATGTTCTTATCAACTGAGTCAAACCAGCTAGGGCTCTGCTTGTTTTTATAAGAGTGGTCTTTTTTCAATCATTAATTCAGTATGCAAACATACACAGTAGTGCCCAGCTGGCATTGTTCAGTGGTTGAGAGTCAACCTATGAACCAGCAGGTCACAGTTTGAGTCCCAGTCAGGGCACATGCCCGGGTTGCAGGTTTGATCCCCAGTCTGGAGCCTGCAGGAGGCAGCCAATTGACGATTCTCACTCATCATTAATATTTCTGTCTCTCTTTCCTTCTCTCTCCCTCTCTGAATTCAATAATAAAAAAAAAATATTTTTAAAAACCTACATATTCGGTAGCTACTATTTTCTAATACAAAGGCCAGTCAATGATTTTGTGAAAAATTATATATTTTTGTTTATTTTATATTATTTAAAAATTATACCAGTAATGCTACCCCTACTTAATTTTTTTTTTTTTTTAAGGGAAAGAGCCCAGCTGGTGTGGTGCAGTGGAGGTCATGGTTTGACTCCCAGTCAGGGCGCATGCCTGGGTTATGGGCTCAATCACCAATAGGGATGTGCAGGAGGCAGCCAATCAATGGTTTTCTCTTACCATTGATGTTTCTATCTCTATCTCCCTCTCCCTTCCTCTCTGAAATCAATAAAAATATATTTTTTTAAAGGGAAAGAAAAGAGATAAAAACACATCTTCCCAGCACAGACACAAAAAGCCTGTCTAAATATTTTGTTTTGTTTTTTTCTGCTTCTGTGTTTTACTCTGAATAGCTTTTCAAAGTTTTTATTTAAGTTTAATTATTTTGTATATAATTTTATTGCTTTAATGTTTCCCTGATATTAGGATGTAACACTTTCCCATAATATTCAAATTTATTGTACAGGTTAGCGTAAATATTGACTTAATATTTCATTGAATAGATATGTAGAAGATTACATACCTAACTTCTTATTTTTGGATATTAATTTTAGTTTTATCTTTTATACATAATGTAATTGACATATTGAAGAATAAAACTTATTTTATATTTTAGATAATTTTCTTAGAATGATTCTCAGTGGTTGAATTAATTATTTATTTACATTTGAAGAATGTTTAAAAATTTTGAAGTCGAAATGGCCAGTCTTCTCTTAGGGGGTACAAAAGTCTTTGTGCTTTTCTTTGTTCCATTACCCTAAGTAGTGGTAGAGATTTGATCGGATAAGTTTTCAATATGTATACATGGTGAGTCAGGCAGAGAGACAGGATGTGTTCCACCATGTTTCTTAAACTCCATGACACGTACTTTTTAGCACGTAGGAAGCATTGAATCTGTGACAACTCTGTGCAATACATTACTGGGAACAGGAAAGCAAAGAGGGCAGTTCGCAGTTCTCAATGACTGTACAGCTATCGTTGGATTGAATTAGTGGTACCTCTTTGCCCATTCCAGATGCAATTGTGAGAGCATCTGGAATTAAGTAAAAACAGATCATGAAGATCCTGTATCCAGTGGTCCCAAGATTTCGATGGTATGAGGCATGTAGTAAAGGGAAGGAGCTTTCACAATATCTCAGAAATTACAGGGGTTACTCAATTGGAACACAGGTTCAAAGAAGGAATGCTCTTACCTACATCCGTCTATTCTAATAAAAGGGTAATGTTCTAATTAGACTGGACATCTTCCGGATGTCCTTCTGAACAAAGCCATTGGTGGCAGGGGCAGAGACAGTTAGGGGGTGATCAGGCCGGCAGGGGAGGGCAGTTAGGGGCAGTCAGGCCAGCAGGCAGAGATAGTTAGGGGTGATCAGGCAGGTAGGCAGGCGAGTGGTTAGGAGCCAGTGGTCCCAGTAGAGGGATGTCCCCCGAAGGGTCTTGAATTGGAGAGAGTGCAGGCCAAGCCGAGGAACATCCTCAGTATTCTAATAATGATACACATTTATCAAGACACATCTTCTGTTATCTCATGGTGGCTTATTGATTGGTGGTAATATATTGGAAACACACTACTTTTAAGTGGGGCTATTGGGGAGAAGAATAGGTAAACCATAGCTCATGACAAAGTAATCTTAGAACCAGGAGCCAGTCAGAACTTCCGCCTGCTTATGCCATTGTTGTGGGACCACAGCTTCAAAGTTGTGCAACACCTTCAGTAAATACTTCCTGGAGCAGAGAGGAGAATGAACCTGGGAGTCTCATTCGGTTTCACTTGAGAGGTGGCAGGAAAAGACCAAGGAGTGCACTTCTGTTTGAGTGAGAGGACAGACACTACACTCCTGGAACCGGCCAGGATGTTGCCAGGGCTGCTTCTGGTAGCCATGCTCTTTCTTTCTTCAGTTCCAGGTAGGTGTTTATCTTTTTTTAAGGTTATTTTAAATACACCAGTGAGCTGCTTGCTTTTTATCTTCTCCAAATATATTTGTGGGACAAATTTTACTAACTAGTTGGGCAGATTTTAATCTGTTATTTAGGGGAAGGCAAATGACTGATATAAAAAAAAAAATCAATGTAAATGAGAGGCAAAGAAATGTCCTTAATCAATATTTACATATTTGATCTGAGAATATAGAAATCAAACGGGAGATTTCATTTAGCATAATTAAAATAATGAATGTGATCTTCAATTCAAAAAGTGAATCATCAAAACCCACCTTGTTCTTTTTAGAGCAGTGCCCATGCAGTGGACTTGACTGATTATCGCTGTGCAGAAGGATTTGGAAAGTATTATTATTGGGACAAGTTGGTTTGTCCTGTTCCTTTTGAGCTTGCATTTTTAGTTCTTTCATTTATGGTGATAATAAATATAACTAATTAGAAATAAATATTTGACCAATTTCATTTTATAAAGTATTGTTATATTAATCAAACTAATGCTGTTGCTAAACCTAACTTGATCACTTCTATTTTGCTGGTATATCAAGCATTTACAAACTTAGAAGTAGAGGAATTCTACTTTCTAGTAACACATAATGTCTACTATCTCTGTTCATTGCTCATACCTTCAATTAGATTTGGGTTAGATTAGGTTGGTTAATACATTTCCTTAGCTTATTTATATTTCTAGAGCTTAGGGAAGCACATTAACTTTAGAACCTGGGAATTCCTCTTTGGCCAATCTTTTCTTGGGTATGAGCATGCTCACTGGGACCCAGGAATGGGAACAAATTATCAACAGGAAGTACGGGATTGGAAAGAACCTGTCCTCTTTCCCTTGCACTCTGTACTTTGTTACTAAAAGTAATTTTTCATTTTCCCCTGATTTCTGATTTGTTTTCCAGAATTTTGAAAGTTTTACTTAATATCTTTAAATGTAGAACTATGCTAGGCATTTAAGTTATTGACTTAAAATTTCTACTTTCTTAGATAAACTTAATAAAAATACTCATTCCCTAAAGTCTCCAAAAATACTATCATTACAAACTCTTTGGATTCCTTTGTTTTGGGTGAAACTTAAGAATTGCTTGCATACTAGCTTTATCCCACAGCATAAAGATCAAGCAGTGTCCCTACACAGAATCACATAGCTAACACTGGACTTAATTCACATTTCAGCCTCTTCAGTGAAGTTGGGTGTATAAACTGACCCTGTTCCCCCTGTGTCTGCATTCACTCCATGGCCCCCAGAGATGCAATTCCTTTAGAAGTCATGCTTAAAAGTGTGACATCTCTGAGTACTTGGTGCTGAAGACAGAGGTTCTTGTGAGAATGAGGAGACAGACAGAAAGCTGCCCACCTGATTTTCCATTGGAACAGGAATCCGCCCCATTTGTATTACCTGCCATCTTGTATTCTCAAGACTGTCTCCCCTGTCGGTGAAATACTCTGATATTTTTTCCCCAATAGGTTGATTTCCCAGCCAGAATGCAAGAAGTAAAGCAATGTTATTTCCCTATCTCTTCTTTTATTTTGTTTCTTTATTCCCATCACCCAAAGAATAGGTGTTGCTCAGACGCTGACATTTACCTAGTTCTCATGTACATGAAATAAAAGAAGGGGGTAAAATCAGGCCAACTGCTTGTAGTGAGCTTAGTAATTTCCTGAGAAAAACCACTAATAGGATTGCATCATGGGAAAAAAACCCCACAAATATTTAAAAGGAGGTGCCAAGTGCTTGGGAGTAAAGAACTAAGTGCACTGACAAAAGAAAATGGTCTTTACTATATTCCAGCAGAATGCCAAGAGGGGGGAGAAGTTCAGTACTTCTGAAATTATTTTATTTCCAATTGGATATTCTTTCTTGCCTTCAAAAGGTGACCATAAGGCCCTGGAGAGTACATATAATTTCATCTTAAGAACCAAATTAAGATGTGCTTTTTCCCCTCAGTGTTTGTGCTCACTTTTCCTACATGAAGTTTGAAATTACCAAATGGCTTGAGGGGGTTCAGTCAGTATCATGGCATGAACCCTAATCAGGACTTCATGTCATGTGCTCAATTTGGGAAGACATTGCTTTAAAGGGTTTTGACTATATATATGAAAATGTCAGTATTATATTCAAATGTCCTAAAATCCAAAGTGGATTTTATATAATATAAAGTAGCAATCCAGACCAATGTCTTTTACATTCATCTTGTCAACAGGATTAATTTTTAACTTTTTAACATAAGAGAATTATTGAATCTAAACCAAAGTAAGACATTTCTTTTTGTTGATCTAGTTTTGCTAGTCAGAATTAATTTAGTATGAGAGTTCTGTGGGGGAGAAAAAGCAAGTATTCCAACGAATGAATAGAAACATACCGTGTTACAGCTCCAATTTGTGTAATCCCTGGATGGCAGTTTGCTGTGTTTGTTCCTCAGGCTTCAAAATAGTCAGCCTGTGTAATTCTGCTAAGAGGAGGCTTAACTCTCTCTATTACCTTATAGTGAATGAGCCAGAGAATATTAAGGTCTGCTGCATCTCTCTAGCTTCTGTGTAATTTATTACATCTCAAGTCACTCGCATCCGGGGGCCTTCATGGTTTCAGAAAAACAAGTTAAGAGAAATTCTACCTGCTTTTTAAGAGATTATACGATGTTGCAAGAGTTTGGGAATAGCTAGAAATCATTTATTTCAAACTGAAGAAAGTGAGAGGTTGCCAAAGACCTTTAAATACATTCTGGCTTATTTTACTTATTGATTTATTTTGCTTGCCATTGGAAAGTGATCTGCTGTCAAAAAGAAATAGTTGAAAATAAATTTCTCCACTATTTTACATACTTCAACTTCATATTGGAATCAGCTGGTAATTTTGAATTTCACCAAACCCTAGACTTTAGATACTAATAAGAAGCATGGTGATTAGATACTAATCAGTGTGTATCAAAGAAAACTTGGGTTGGTCAGATTGGTCTGTTCCTTACCACTTCTGAACGGGGAATGTGTATGTGTTCCTACTTTATGCATTTATGGAAAGAATCATTTGGGTAGGTATTATTTTATGACTTGAGGGCAGCTTGGATAATATTTCCTGTCAAAATGATGTGTATTATGGATGAGAAGGATTTTTCATAGAGCATTTTAAAAAGAGTTACTCTGTTTGCAACATTGATGAATATATGGCTTCAAGAGCCTGTATGAATGGGACTAACTGCACTAATTGGACACAAGCCACCTGCCAGCATCCATGTCAAACAGAGTTACAGGAGGCTGTGGAGAATTGTGCCAATACCATTACTTACTTTCTGGCAAGTAAGTAAGTAATTTTCTTACCTCTTAACATCATACTATTTTGAAATAAGTGCGATATTTACCGAAATGTTCACTTACTGAAAAGACAATGATTGATGAGATGTTTCTTCAGGCTTTTGGACCTTCGTTATGAAAACTGTTTATAACCGATGTGTTATTATTTTTTACCCAAAATTAATTAAATAGAAATAAAAGGTGGCCAGTGGTTATCCGTGTAGCAGCAAGAAGTAACTGAGGGAACCTCAGATGTGGTTCTGTGACTATGTGGCCAGACTTATTTTATCAACTGATTAGAAGTTTATTCAAATGATCATTGCCTCTTTGAAGAGATTATAGGGGATTCTGTACTTATTTGCATAAAATCGCAGACTACTTGAATTGGCCAGAGATCACTTAACCTATCCTCTCTTTTCAAATAATTAAAAAAAAAAAAACAAAACAAAAAACAACTAAACCCAAAGTTAAGGCATTGTAGTATTGATGCCACAGCTTTTGAAATCTTGCTTACGAGTAAATCTCAAGCCACTGAATAAAAAACTGTTTCATCATGTTAACACCTCATTTTTGACCCAACAGATTTGCAGATAATTTTATCACTTTTTCCATCTTTTAAAGTTAGATGTACATGGTTCCTGAGTGATCAAATGAAATAAAGATATCCTAAAATAATAAAAGAAGATTGACATCACCAGGGATTTTGAAAATGTCTGCTTTAGTTTCTAAAGAAATGTTTTAAAAATAAACCTTTATTCTTGGAACAACTATAATAATCTATAATAATAAAAGCATAATATGCTAACTAGACCAGACAGATGAACAACCTTCTGATGTCCTTCTGGATGAAGCCGGGGCTGCCAGGGCAGAGCTCCTTTCACAAATTTTGTGCACCAGGCCCCTAGTATTGGGATAAGTGTATAGTCATTCAAGGCAACTAACAAAAATCCTTAGTTCTATTTGTTAGAAGATCAACCAGGATAACATAAATTTGTATTATCATAGGACATATTTTTGAGTAGTGTAATGAGCTAAAGTTACCTTCAGAGAGCCTCCTCCTCTACACAGACACTAAAGCTTTTCTGGTTCTAGTGTCAGTCAGTTGCTGGGTTGGGCCCTGGTTCCTATTACATCTACATTCTGCGTGGACCTGCAGCTTCTTCAGCGGCCAGAGGGCAGATCTGCTGACATTTCCTCAGGCTCCACTCTGCACAGAACAGGGACTGGACCATGTGGGTAAATCTATAATAATAAAAGTGTAATATGCTAATTAGAGTGGAAAGCCAAACAGCCTTCTGGCTGGCCTTCTGGACATCCTTCAAGATCACCTTCCGGACAAAGCCAGGGCTGCAACGGCCGAGCTCCTTGCACAAATTTTCTGCATTGGGCCTCTAGTAGAAAAATAAAAGAAAATAGAAATTCCAGTGTTAGCTTTGGAAAAACTGAATATCTCTCAAAAATAACTTCTAGATACAATATTGAGATTTCAAGATGCAGATAGGAGATTGAATGAGTTAACTTTTCAGTTCTCTTTCTTTTTAAATTTTATTGTTTAAAGTATTACATATAGTAGTACATGTATCTCTTTTTTATTTTCCCCATTGACCTTCCCCCAGCCTCCCCTACCCCCTGTCCTAGGCCCTCATTTCCCCCCTCCCTCTCAGTGTCTTCTCTTTTAAGGTAACAGCAGGCTCAGAAATTTCCTTCCAGGCCAGTAATAGTGTTCCAATTGCCTATTCTCTGAGTTTTAAAATATTTTTTATGTGTTGTTTGCAATAATGAAGGTGTGTCTGTAATGCAAAGAGCCTGCCCAGTCCATGGTACTGGTATTGGAGCCTTTTCTTACTGACTTCATTTCTTTCAATCTTATAAAACATTGCTTTTGGAAAAACCAAGGAAAATTTCTTAGAATCTGAAATGACACCCATTACTTATTTCATATTTCTAATACTGTAGCTTTGACAGTGCTTCCATTCTACCACTCTGACGCTGATTTAGCTTCTTAGAGGATTCATTTGGCTTCTGCCTTCCTTGACTAGCTTTTGTCTGTACTGTTTGCTCTATTCCTCTGTGGGGATTCAAGATAGCAAAGAGAAGTGGGAAAATGTGAAAGAAATATTCTCTGTGGGGAACCATTTAAAGGGATAAGTTAATGTAAAGATTTGAAAGGAAGAGTGAGTCTCTGATTTTGTGGATCTCTTTTGGTGTCTGCACTTTAATAACTCTCTGAACCAACTCAAAGTCTCTGTGGGAGACACCATTCACCAGAAATGCATTAAAGATGACCATTTCCAACCAGCCTATTAGTTAGTTCTGATTAGTTAAAGCTTCTCTCACTCTTTTTAGTAAATGCTATAGGAGAAGTCGATGGAGTAAAGAAGTATGAAGTAGTTTATCCCAGAAAACTTCATCCACTGTATAAACGAGAGACCAAGAAGCCACATCAACAGGTACAACTTTTGATTTAACAGAGAAAAAATATTGAATTTATATATATGTATATATGTGTGCATGTACAAAATACACATACATACAATATATACATGCACATGGTGTATATATAAATATATAATTATATTTAATATAGAAATACATATACAAGTATGTACACATTTGTATTTGATTTTTCGACCTGTTCTACTTATTAATCTTCAAAATAATGTAATATTCTACCTTATTTTTCAGAGTAAGGTTCTGATGGTTAAATTAAACTGTCCAAGATCACAGAGAGAGGAAAATTTGACATTCTTAAGGTCACAGAGAGAGGAAAATTTGACATTCTTATGGTAATATATAATTTATTCTGTGTACTCACAAAGAAATTTGATGTAATTTATTATCTCTCTGTACACACACATATAAACAAAATCATGAACTTTAAAACTGATGTAGAAAATAAAGTATTGTGGATAAATGCATGCATATATGCACACCAAGATTAATTACTATAATTAAACATGACATTTACCTCTGTCCTTTCTAAAAAGGCAGCTATTAAAGTCTGTATTATTCTTATAATTAATGAAATGACACATTCTCAATCAAAAGAGGAAAGCTAAAATATAATGATTCCTTCAACAATAATTTTCTAATTCCTTACACCTGGAACTCTTTTGTGGGGAGTCAGGAAAGTCCAGATATATGAGACATAAATAATAACTTGCACCATCTATTGTGAGATGAAGGCTTATATTTCCCACCTGGATAATGCCAGGTACCTTTCTTCACTGAATATTTGGAAAACAATTTGAGTACGTGTCCAGTGTTTTCCATCACAGTTATATAGCGAGTTCCTCATAACTATAAAAATAAATTTAAGCATCCGAATAATCATCTTGATGAAAAACCATAAAGTAGTTATTGGCACATACTAGATGTTCAACCAATTTGTTAAATGATTGAGTAGATGAATGCAAATGAGCTTGATATTTACTCCAAATACGTACTTATCTAGTCAGCTGTTCTGTTAACTGGCAGTATGAACTCCTGATCCTTAGGGAAAGTACAAAGGATCTGAATTCAGAGGGCTAGTTCGTGTTCATGTCTTAGCTTTGTTAATTTTCTCTGTGTAAACTTAGGCACACAGGAACTTCAAATTCTTTGTGTGAAAAGTGAGATAACAACAGCAGTGCTTATCTCATATATGATAGCTATTTTGAGGTGATTACACAAAAATCAAAGCAGGATGCAATAATTAACTCCCTGTTCAAGTTTATGCTATCCTATGTAACCTATCATATTCTCAGTATCAGAAACATTATTCACTATTTATCGGGCATCCTAATATCACTCGTGTCCTGTATTTTATTTGGCAATTATATCATGTGGCTTTTATCATCTCCCTGTGAACATCTAGAAACATACCAGAGATGTGTCTCTGGGATTCCAGCCCTTGTCCCCTCTACAAATATAAGACCCCATGCTGCTGCATGTCTACTATTTCAATCCTGTCCTGTCAGGGTTGCTGATTTCTGCCATATCACACTTGTCTACAAAACATGTCTAGAAATGCTAATGGCATCCTGTCTGCCACACAGCAGGCACATTTCCCCCCTAACATAAAGAATATTCTCCTTTTGCTCAAGTACAGATTATGATTAATAGAAATACTGTCATTGATATAAGCCAAGATCTTGGAGGTTATTCTTATGGATTCTGTATTGAGACTATTGGTCTTTCTTGTGCAAAGAATTGATGAGCAATTACTTGAAACATCCAGAATTCATAATAAATGTGACCAAGGGGATCTTTGTATTCTGTTGATGCCCTCTAGGTCGCAGGCTAGATTAACCATGACTCAGGGCCTCGGTAGAAGAAGACTCTTATACTTATTATTATATAGCAGTATCCTCTCCTGGACCAGAGTCTTGGGTACCAGTGTTACCTGTCAGCTGTGCCCAAAACTTGCCTCCATTTTCCTAAGTTTATCATAACTGACTATATGACTTACAATTTGAGTTGAAATAAAATAACCATTTGAAAACTTTCTGGAGGGGCCACTAAACATCAGGATAGAAGAATGTTTTATTCATGATTATACATTATATTCATTATTGTATTTTATATACACAGTGTAGGGAAACTAAATAAGTATTTGAATAAATGAACAGTGAATAAATAGACAGATGGACAAATGAATAGAGGATATAAATGGAGTACATTGCCCAAACAACTACATAAACATTTACTCAACAAATACTTAACCAAAGTCCCTGATGTTGGGAACTTACATTCAAAAGGTGGTCACTATTCTTCCTAAAATTCAGACTCTAGCTCACACTTTCTAGAGGCCAAAACCATCTTGCTTTTGGCTCATCCTATATAATAAAAGAGTAATATGCAAATTGACCATCACTCCAACACACAAGATGGCCACCACAAGATGGTCAGCAGGGGAGGGCAGTTGTGGGTGATCAGGCCAGAAGGGGAAGGAATTTGGGAGAGACCAGGCCTTCAAGGGAGGGCAATTGGGGGTGACCACACCTGCAAGGGAGGGCAGTTAGGGGTGACCAGGCCTGCAGGAGAGGGCAGTTTGGGGTGATCACACCTGCAAAGGAGGGAAATTAGGGATGACCAGGCCAACAGAGGAGGGCAGTTAGGAGCAATAGGGCCAGCAGGGGAGCAGTTAGACGTTGATCAAGCTGGCAGGGGAATGGTTAGGGATTGATCAGGCTGGCAGGCAGAGAAGCTGGGAGCCAGCAGTCCAGGATTGTGAGAGGGATTTCTGACTGGGATTCCTGATTCCCAGTGGGATTGGGCATAAACAGGCAGTTGGACTTCCCTCAAGGGGTCCCAAATTGGAGAGGGTGATGGCTGGGTTGAGTGACAACCCCCCACTCCCCCAATTTCTTGCACCAGGCCTCTAGTGCTATAAAATAAAATATCTGGCAGCATAATGCTTCCTCTTATTAGAAACAATTTTAGGCCTTAGCTAGGTCCACCAGTAGAAGTCTCAGATTTTCTGTGTGTTGTGGCCAGGCTTGAATTAAGATCTTCCCTGGAACTTGTAGGGTTTCTTTTGCTAGTTCATGTGTGCACCATCTTGATCTCATAGATCCACATCTGCTCATATTTTGGATCACCCAGGACCATGACCTTCTTAGTCTACACTCTAAACTGTAGCCATGGCATTTGTTTTCTGGAGAAAATTTAGTTATACACACATCTGTGACCAACTAAACTTATTCAATAGACTGCACATCATTTCCTTCTAGTGGATGCTCTTCAAATCAAGGTGTATTTTTCCTCTCTTAACCCTTAGTTTAGAACCCAGATAGAACCCACATTTCTTATTAGCAGGCATTACCCTTCACTGTGGACTTGTATTTGAGAAGTACAGTTATAAACTAGCCCACTGCACCCTTTCATACAGACACTGGTTTTCTTCCCTGCTGTTTCCTTTCATCCATAATATATATGCTAGTGTCAGCTAAAAGTTCCATTACAAAAGCAGTGATTGTTTCCTAAAACAGCCTCTAAATAATGTTTTAGGTGAAAATCCATTAAAACTCCATTGCTAATAGAAGCAAATACCTGGAAAGTTCTTCTGATTAGAAGCTCATATTTTGTGTCCTCCTAATCTTTTTATTTTATACAGCCTTTCTACCTGTGGTTAGAGCAATTTCCTGTGGATTTTATTTTTTATCCTCAAGATCTTTCCCACCTCCTGTTATTTATGAAAATGAACTAAATGACAGCAACCTTACAACATTTACGCCCACAGTATAGAATATTTACAATCATGTGATTTTGACCCCAGGAAAGACATCAATAATTGATTATTAATAGGGAATATGGGCCGAAATACCTGACCTTGATGATGGTAAATTTCTGCATGATATCCCTGACCTGATGATTCTAATTCACTATTGTCCCTCAATGAGCTCTGGTACTGATGTGGCCAGGAGAGGGAAGAGAGAAGAAAAGTGCAACAGCAGAGGGAAGAGCACTCAGTCCATCATAAGTGGTTTTCAATCACATGTCCTCGCCATTTTTCAATGTCTATAATAGCAATGTCTTGACACTTCCCAGTGAAGTTTTAGGTGTTGTTTGTAACCATGACTGGTAACCTAGTTTTATACAACAAAATCAAAACTCAATACCCAATGTGATTTTTCAAGTACCCTGTATAGTCCTCTATAGTTCTTCCCATATACATCAATTGAAACTTAAGACAATTCTCCTAATCCACATGTTTTACTTGAGGTGATATTTTTCTCTTTCTGAATACCTGAGGCTGTTTTATTACTGATGGCTTCTTCCTGCCCTAGGGTGCATATTCTTGTTATCTTTGCCCATATTCTGACCTCCGCTTAGCCTTAAGAGCTCACCCTAAAAATCATCAGCAAGATCCTTAAAGGTCTTTGGGTCTGTGCGCAAACTATTCCTTCTCAAATAACTTCTCTACTCTGCTTCACCTGGCTAATTCATATCTCAGTTTATACATTACTTCCTCAGGAAAGTCTTTACTTTCTTTAAGATCTTAGTCATTCCACATTGCTTACATATTTATATCATTTATTATATGACATAATTCACATTTATTGTCTGTTTTTCTACAAGGTTATAAGCTCCCTGACAACAAGCACCAATTTTTGTTGTTTTGAGTTTAATTTCTAGAACCAAGCCATATCTTGCAAATAACCAACACTCAATATTTGTAAAATGCATGAATAGGTAAACGAATGGATGGAGGGAGGAAAAGATGGATGGATATAAAGGTCTCATGTAATTTATCTACTTAGTTGGCAAAGTTGTTAGATTTGTTAAGAGAGGCAGAAACATACATTTGGCATTATATACACTACTGTTAAGGAAAAGCAGGCACTGTTTGCTAATGATTAAACAGATTGACCTAGCAAAATGATTTCTTAATTACCAGCAAATGTTTTTACATTTTTGCAGGAAAAATATGAAATTGAAGTGAAGTATGAAATGACAGTTAACGGGAAAATGGCAGTGCTTTATTTAAAAAAATCCAAGTAAGTGTCTTTCTTCTCATATAATGCTCACCAACAGCAAATTAGAACGTGAGAAGTATGCTAATTGAGTCTGTTATTACTTATATATCATGTAAACTTTGACTACTCAGCTTTTTCTCCCAACTGGCCCAAGAGGTTCAATTCCTACTAAAGTAGAAGAAACACATTGGATAAAACAATAGTTTTGTAGTATTTTTATACTTCTAGGAATAAAACAAATTAAATGAGGGCAAGCAGACATAAATTTTATCAAATTTGATGAAACAACTATAGATTTTTAATTCTTCCCTTTTACTATTTCATTTTATTATTCTAACACTGAAAGATTAGATTTTAAAACAATTTGCAACTATTTTCACTGGGAAAAAAATAAGAGATATAAAAGTTAAATAAACTCTAGGGCCAACGAACCCATTCAATGGCAAAACCAGAGTTGGGCTCTCCTGATTTCAACAGTAATGCCCTTTCTACTCAGCTGCCCACTAACCCATCCATTTCTCTCATATGTTACATTAGGCTCTTACCTCTCCAACCTCTCCATCCAGTTCATCAAAATTCAATGTTTCTTTTCAAATTTCACTGCCTAAGCTCGCACCCAAGTCCTGATTATCCTATAAATACACTATTTCTAATGCAATTTCCTAATTTGTGCTTTCAATTTCTTTCAATCCCTCAATTGTTCTATATAGGACAGCAAGATAGACAAATAGACCATCACCTTTTGCAAAAACTTGAAACTGTCCGGGGTTTGGAAATAGTGTTGGAGGGAATACAGGGTTGGGATTAAGGCAGACCTAAACATGATTCTATGCTATTTAAACTATTTAATATCATCTAAACAACAGAGAATAATATTTATTTTTTAAGACTGGTGAAAAGATTATATGAAATGACTCATGTAACAGGTCTAACCCAGTGGCCAGTACAGAGATAGCACCTAAGATATATTCATTACTTCCTTTTCTCTTTGCCCTACCTCTTTTAAAAATATAGGTCAGGCTTAGATTTTCTAGAAAATAATTGAAAGAATTTTAAGAAGGTTCAACAGAAATATTGGAGGGACCCAAACTGCCAAATGCAAGGGAATTTTCAATAAACTTGATCAGTCACTGGTGACTGAAGGGCTAGGTGGAAATGCAGTTATCTTAAACTGGTGAGGAACAGCACTCTTTTCAGCCACCTTTTACCAACTTCCCCATTTCATTTCTTCCTCAAGTCTTTCCTCAGAACAGTAAGCAAAGCCAGACAACAAAGCAGACATTGTTCCCTACTTCTCAGGAGTGCCTGAACTTGTAAGGGGTTGGGACGAGGCACTCAGGAATTGGAACTTTACAGCACACCCAGTGAAATCTCTCACTTTGATCACTGAACTTTGTAATTAGTAACTATGACTTTTTTCTTTGTCACCAGGGATCTCTTGGCACCAGGTTACACGGAAACACATTATAATTCCACAGGAAAGGAGGTCACCTCCAGCCCACAGATCATGGTAAAATGTAGTAGCCTAGATTTATTGTTAATTGGGGTATGACCCACACATCCAAATGCAGTCATTGCCAAACAAGTAGTGAAAGGGAAGGAGCATGTGTAACATCCATCAGTGCTTTATTTCATAGTAATTTCTTTCTTTTTAAAATATTTTTAAAATTGTTAGGGAAAGAGGAAGAGAGAGGGATAGAGAGATAGAAACATCAATGAGAGAGAAACATCATCCATCTGCTGCCTCCTGTTTGCCTTATTTTAGGGAACCAGCCTGCAAACTTGGCATGTGCCCTGACTGGGTCAGATGGGGGTGTGTGTGCCACAATGAGATCTCAAAGTTCCTGGGTCAATGCTCAATCACTGAGCCACACTAGCCAGGCTAGTAGTAATTTCTTGATTTATCCTCCATTATTTGGAGAGTTTGACAAAAACAAAGTCATTCCTTTACAAAGATGGTAATCCTTTCCAGCTTCAAGGGATCCCAATAGGAAAGTGGACAAATGGAGCTCCTTATTTTCATTAGAAGAGTGGAAAATTACATATGATCACCTCTCTAGATCATCTAGTCTCTCAAAGTCTAGACTATTTCTTAATGGTAGAATTATAAAATTCTATGTTTTTTTAAAATAATTTTCATTCTTGACTCTTAGAGAAGATGACAGTGTGAAGTAACAGGGCTATTTTATCATTGCCAACTTTTCAAAGGTCTGTCTTCTATTGGAAGGCCTTCACACATTTTCTTCTATAAAATTATGCAGTGGCATATAGGTTTATAGGCCAATACTTCATCTTCCCAAAAGAAGAAAGGTCTATTTGATAGAAACACATATGGATAAAAAAAAGGGTTAGCATTGTGCATTTTCCTAACTAGTTGTTAAGAAAAAAATAATGAGCAATCAGTCAAAGAAAGAAATAAATGTCATTTTCAGAGCTCGGATTTTGAACATGTATTCAACCTGTTTTCCTTTACCTGCAACACAAACATTTTAAAAAATATATATTTTATTGATTTTTTGCAGAGAGGAAGAGAGAGAGATAGAGAGCCAGAAACTTCGATGAGAGAGAAAAACATCGACCAGCCGCCTCCTGCACACCCCCCACCGCGGGATATGCCCACAACCAACGTACATGCCCTTGACTGGAATCGAACCTGGGACCTTTCAGTCCACCGACGCTCTACCACTGAGCCAAACTGGATTTGGCTGCAACACAAACATTTACACCAGCATTTAATTAGCAATCTGTAAGCATTTGGGATCATTAACTAAATATTAAAGATTTCAACAATAAAAAGGTTAAAAATGTTTTTACTATCTTTAAGTTGATTTATTCAATATAAAATGACTTTAAAGCATTATAGATACTATTTCAAATTTGCAATTTTAAAATGTAACAGTGGTCTAAAAACATGCACACTTTCCTTTATAAAATCCCTTTTCATTTTTCTTTAGGATGACTGTTATTATCAAGGATATATTATTAATGCAAAAATTTCTGAAGCTAGCATCAGCACATGTAGGGGTCTAAGGTAAGACTTCATGAATAGTTTGTATGCATCTTTGATGATTGGGTGTGTAAGTGTGTCTAATAAACCAAAATAAATGGAGAACAGCTATAATAGTGCCAACAATAATATATCCTATATAATAATAGCCGAATATGCTAAGTGTCCTGTTGCCCAGTCAGCCATTCAAACAATCAAAACATAATATGCTAATGATATGCTAAGGCCACTCAACTGCTTGCTATGATGTGCATTGACCATCAGAGGCAGATGTTCCAATCAGTAGGTTAGCTTGTGCTGGGGTCCAGCTGATTAGGATTTAGTGAGATGGGCTGGACATGCCTTGGAGACCTCCTGCAGTTCCTCCTCTGCTGACCAACCTCTTGCTTCCTCCCAGCCCCAATTGTGCATCAATGGGGTTCCTTGGCCTGGCCTGCACCCTCTTGCAATCTGGGACCCCTTGGGGGATGTCAGAAAACTGGTTTCAGTCCAATCCCACAACCAGGCTGAGGGATCCCACTGGTATACGGACTCCGTGCACCCTGCCTCTAGTGTGTGTGTGTGTGTGTGTGTGTGTGTGTGTATTATTAGAGGCCTGGTACACACTGGAGGCCGGGTGCATGGAATCTATGCATGGATGTGTGTGTGTGTCCCTCAGCCCAGCCTGTACCCTCTCCAATCTGGGACCCCTCAAGGGATGTCCAACTGCCCATTTAGGTCCGGGATAGGACCTAAATGAGCAGTCAGACATCCCTCTCACAATCCTGGACAGCTGGCTCCCAAATGCTTTCCTGCCTGCCAGCATGATCACCCCCTAACCACTCCCTTGTCAGCCTGATTGACACCTAATTTCCTTCCCTTGGTCTCCCCCAACTGCCTTTCCCTGCAGACCTGGGTTCCCCCCAACTACACCACCATGCAGGCCTGGTCGCCCCCAGCTGCCCTCTTCTGCCTGCCTGGTCACCCCTAACTGCCTTTTCCTCAGGCCTGATTACCCCCAACTGCCCTCCCCTTTAGGTCTGGATCCCTCTCAACTGCCCTCCCCTGCTGGCCATCTTGTGGCAGCCATCTTGTGGCAGCCATCTTGTGTGTTGGAGTGATGGTCAATTTGCATATTACTCTTTTATTAGATAGGATACTGAGTGGCCAGATTATTATGCCACCTGATGTTTGTAGGCAAATTAGTAGTACACTGCATCATATGGGATATGGAAGCCGAAGGCCTGTTCAAATACTTTTGCTGTCTGCAGTTACCAAGAAAAAACATCTCCAATTTGCACAGGAACACAAGGATTGGACAGTCGAGCATTGGAAAAATGTCCTGTGGTCTGATGAGTCACTTTTCCAGTTGCATCATGCAGATGGCAGAGGCAGAAATTTGTGGAAACAGCATGAAAGCATGCACCCCACATGCATGAGTATAACCCTTCAAGCTGGTTGAGGGAGTGCTATGGTTTGGGGCATATTTTCCTGGTATGATTTGGGTCCTTTAATTCGTGTGGGACAACGTCTGAATAGCCAACATATCTAAGTATCATTGCTGATCAAGTTCATCCTATTGTGATGATGGTGTATCCCAATGGAGATGGCTTCTTCCAACAAGTCAATGCGCCATGCCATGGTGCTTGTCTTGTGCAGGAGTGGTTTCAAGAACATGAGGGAAACTTTACCTTGATTAGGTGCCCCCCACAATCACCAGATCTCAATCCAATTGAGCATTTGTGGGACGAAGTTAAAAGAGCCATCAGGCACTTGGTTCCACAACCATCAAATCTCACAGAACTGGACAGTGCTATTCATCAGGCATGGTGTCAGATTCCTCACAATACCTTTCAACATCTCATGGAGTCAATGCCAAGAAGAATTGCCACAGTATTGAAGGCAAAAGGTGGCCCAATGAAGTACTGATGGGATGGTCATAATAATCTGACCACTCAGTGTGTGTGTGTGTGTGTGTGTGTGTGTGTGTGTGTGTGTGTGTATTTGCACTATAGGGAAATATGAATTCTAGGGGCTAAATTTTTTTAAATTTGAAGGAAACGTGGCCCCTCTTAATAGTAGTTTATAAGTTAAAAATCTGAGTTGCTTTTCTTTGATTGGTTGCTTGCTTTCAAAATATAGGTTCTGAGTCCCAATTTTAAAGTCAGAACCTTTAGAAAATGGAAATTCCTCCTCACCTTCTCTCTTCACTCTAAAATCTCTATTTTGTCCTATCCATGCTTGTCCATTTCTTTCTCTGTACCAAGGACTTCCCATGTGTCTGTCCATAATAAGATATCCAGACTTCTGATACCTAGACTTGAATGTCTATTTTTTTCTTTCTTATCTCCATAAATCTTCCATATCGGGATATCTTAATGAAATATTAATGAAGCTAATGGTTTTCTCTAAAATCTGGCATTTTTCCAATATTCCTTATCACAGCAAATAATCGACCACCTATTTACCTAATCCAGAAACCTAGGTTTTTGATGATTTATTGCCTTTCAACTACCTATTTTAATCCATTATCAAGCCTTATTGATTATATGTTCTCAATCTTTTCTGAGATTATTCACTGCACTCTCTCTCTATTGCCACACTATTCAGACCAATGCAATCAATCCTCCAATTTATCTCCCCACATCACCTCTTACTCTACTAGATCTATGTATAATAAATCCATTTGCCCTATTGTATGTTCTGTGTTTTTCTTCTTGGAAATTATCTGCTGTAATTATGTATATTATGTATATGTCATATAATTATACATACACACACATATATATATAATGTAATTATTTAATCAACATCTATCTTCTTCATTTGAATATAAGCTCTATGAGAGGAGAGACCATGACTTTTTTCTACCACCTGCTTTTAATCCAATGCTTAATGAATAATGGTTGTTCCCTAAATATGGTCCAATGAATCTTAACTTGAGTCTTCAGCAGAGAGAATTAAGATGAAATTGGCATTATTCATTGATCATATGCTTTGCATATTATCTCCTTCAATTTTTGAAACAATTCTGTTGTATGTATTATTACTCTTATTTTATAGAGAAAATGAACCTATATGAGTTTAAGTAATTTCCCATGATATCACCACTAATAAGTGATAGGCCCAAAGTTTTAGCCCTTATCTAGAAGACTAGAAAATCTCTTTCATTTTCAGTATGCCTGAGAACAGACAAGGAAAGGGAATTGGAAGAATAGTGGGACAAGAGTCAGGAAATTTTATTCTAGTGCCAGCTCTGACTAAGGTTAGCTATATGACATTGCAGGGGCCATTTTTCCTCAATAGGTTCCATTTCCTCAATAGGTTCCATTTCTTCATAGAGAAAATATGTCTACATAATTTCTGAGGGGATCTTCAGCTGAAATGTTACACTGTGTTCTACTGCCATGAGCTTAGAATGTTTCAGCGATGGTAACTTTTTGGAGTCTCTAACTAAGTCTATAGCACTCAAATACAGGGATAATTTTTAAGGAGCCTGGACTCTCATGTTTTTTAGGGGCTACTTCAGTCAGGGAGATGAAAGGTACTTCATCGAACCTTTAGGCTCTGCAAATCAGGATGAACAGGAGCATGCACTTTTCAAGCATGATCCCAATGAAAAGAAGGATAACAGCACCTGTGGGATGGATGACATGTTATGGGCACATACATCTCGGCGGAATGTGACCCCACCTGCCACCAGTCTGCTCGTATGCATACCTCTATTTTTTTTATTTGGGACACTCTCATGTATTCTGTCCTGTCTGCCCTGGGTTCTAGTCTTAGCAACTGCACATTGCTGAAATTTTTACAGTCATTGTTGGAACTATCATAATAGGTTATAGAGACATTAAAACCTTATTGTACATTGATTTATTTAATAAGTACTTATGGATCAACTAGAAGCAGGCAACCTTCACAATACTCTAACATGCAACAACAGTGTAAAGTGTTACTATTACTTTGAGGTAAAATATCCTGCTTTCTTCATGAATGAACTCATTCAACAAATCTTTCTTTAAGTACTGCCATAGGTGCTGAGGATGTAGCAGTGAGAAAAGTAATCATAGGATCTGCCCACAGCAGCTTAGAACGTGCTTTCATATATGGAAACCAGCTTTCAGTTACAAAAGATCATCTCTTATAAACATTTAGAGAACCCATAGGCAGTGGGCAGAATTGGTCCGAATAAGATAAAATCTCTGATGGGTTCAGTGTGCTGGGTTTTTGGATGCTGCCAGCCAGAAGAATCACTCTTACCTATGTGAAGGCTGATCTCCTGGTACAGACCTCTTATCTCTGTCTCAATTCCTTGCTAATCAGGTGCAAATAACTATGTAACTATGCTGTCATGGCCTCTCTCTCTCTCTCTTTCTCTCTCTCTCTCTCTCTCTCTCTCTCTCTCTCTCTCTCTCTCTCTCTCTCACACACACACACACACACACACACACACACACACACACACACACCCTGTCTTTCCTCCTACCTCACCAGTGCTATGCCTTCTCAGGTCCTCTCACTGTCATCCTTCCTCTAAATAATGGAGGTTCTCATAAAACTAAATCCTTTGTCTGTCCCATTCCTTACTTTATCTACACATTCTTTCTAGGTAATCTTGTCCTATGCTATGCCCTATTTTGTTCAAATAAGAGTTCTGCAGTAATTACTATCAAATATGTACCTCCAGCCTTGAACTCTACTTTAAAGGCCAGACTGTTCTAATTAACTGCCTACTTCATGTATCTGTTTGAAGCTCTACTATCACAAACTTAATGTGGTCAAAATAGAACTATCGATTTCCAAACCCCAAACAAGACCTGCTTCTCCCTCATTCTCCCCTGAGTCAGTACTACCATTTATCATTTGCTCAGGCCCAAATCTGGAAATCATCCTTGATTCCTCTTTTGTTTATCCCCCTTCATCAACAGGTGCCTCTATATATTTCAGATCTGTCACTTGGCCTCCTTTTTCCAACTACCACATGGCACCATCCTTCTCACAATAACCATTGCAACAGCTTCTGACTTGCGCACTCTCATTCCTGCTTCAGTAGAAGCCACTCCCCACACAATAGCTGGAATGATTCTTTTATTCTGAACTACATCATGTCACTTTTCTGTTCAAAACCCTCTAATGGCTTCTCATTACATTTCGTACAAAATCTAAAAACAAAACCAAAACTGACTGAGTTCAAACCCATGTATGGCTAGGGCCCCAACAACCTCTCAAATCTCATCCTATCTTGTACTCCCCATCCACCAGGGATTGCTCCCATTATTTTCTGACTAACACAAACTTTCTGTGTTTTAACATGTCAAGATCAATTCACCTTGGAGTCTTTTTTGCCCATTTTTTTCTTTGCTGGAATTATTTTTCAACTCTTTTTCTCTTGCTTGGCTTCTCATTTTCAGGAATGTATCAGCTACAGTGCCAGCTTTTTAGGGCTCTTTCTAACCATCTATTGTGAAATTACTACCTTGTCATGGAATATCACACCATCGTGTGCAATTCTCTGCATAGTTTTAATGCCAATCTGATATGTCGGTGTTTATTTGCCTACTGTGACCTTCTTCATGCATGGACCATGTCTATTTCATTGCTCTATCCCTAGTGCCCAGAGCATTGCTGGTGCATAGTAATTGTTAATAAACTTATTGCTCCCATGGAGGGTGGGAGCTAAGTATTACCATTAGATACTAGCTAAAAGTCTACCTTCAGGGCTTTTTTTTTGTTAATGGAAACTTATTTACCTGTTCAAAGACAAGCACTTCTAGAAGTGCAGCATAATAAACTTTGATGGTTTATTATTTAATACAAATAATGTCTGCTACTTTTCAATGGGATAATCCCTATGAAATATGTGTTCACTTTTGTTTTGTTTTATTGTGGAGAGAAAGGAAAAGATAATAGGGGAGCTTAGGATGTGGGAAAGAAATCCAGCTCTTTCTGGGAAGGAGAGAACAGACTGGGCGTCATGGTGGCTTTGGGCGTTGCACCATTGGTAAAGAAAGGGGTGTTCACTGGAACAGGAATAAAAGGCTACTAAACAATAAAAACATGGGGAGGACACTGAAGAAGAAGTTTGTCTATTCCATAGCAGGATAGTTGGAAAGTCCACTGTTCTAAAGTCTTTGAACACTTTGTACTAGTATTGTAATCACTTAAACTATTGGATAAACAAAAGGATTTAGCTAGCATATCACTGACATCTCTCCTAGCCTGACATTCTGAGCCTGTCTATAGATAATTCTGGCTTATTAATTAGCCTTTTTTCCCCAGACAATAACCAATCTCTTATAAATTACACATTTCTAATAAAATAAAGATTCTTGCAGAGAAATATCTTGTCTTAGCAATGTTTCTTTTTATATTGATTGCAGAAATTAAATGACCAGAAGGTTTGGGAACAAAAGAAATACGTAGAATATTATTTGGTCCTGGATAATGGTGAGGTAACTATACCAATAAATGTCTTTTATAATTCCCATCTAAGTTTATTTTGTGAGTATTAACTATCTGGATTGGCTTTTAAAAATCAGGGTTATGAGTAATTCTTTTTTACCAATTGTTCTGAACCTATGAAAATTTTGACATATATCTAATATAACTGATAAGATCTCTTTTTTCCAGGAATGGGCACTGGATATAATATGCATACAATACATTTTTATACTCTAATGTCTTTTCTTTTTATCTTAAAAGCTCCAAACTCAATTTTAAATTACAGTTCTTTGTCATTTTAGTTTCTGTTAACTAGTTAAACAATTGGTCAATTAGAATTTATGTTCATAAGAAAATCGTAAATATGAAGGACTAATGAATGGGATCTTCTGGGGGGGAAAAGACATTTTCTTGTAATATTCATTGTCTACCTTCTTTTATAAAAATGCATTTTCATACATTGTGGGTTCTAAACCTGAGACCCACACGTATGATCTCAAAGGAAAAATTCTGTACTTTGATAACACAAGTTAATTAGTTCAGACACTAAAACTTTGACCTCTGTTACTATACTAAATTCATTTACTGTTTATATATTTTTTTTAATGAATAAGCTATTCCTGGCACTGATTCTGCACAGGTTAGGGAATCATGGTATTTAGCTGACATACATTTGTAATGAATCCTTAAAGCTTTACACTGAGTTAGTACTTTAGGAGATGAAACATCATCTCTATTCCTGAAGTGCTCTCATATGGCTAGAAAAATAAGGAAACATTTGTTTCTAACTTGTTGTAACTGGTCATTGATGATAAACATTTGTAAGTAAAGTAAACTGAAAATGCCTTTATTTTTTAAACTTTCCCATTATGTTCATTTCCATCAATGCCCATTTTGTGTGTGTCTTGGTTGTCTTTTAGTTTCAAAAGTACAATCAAGATCCAGAGAAAATAAGAACGAGGGTGTTTGAGATGGCCAATTACGTCAACATGGTATGATATATTTTATTCAATGTAATTTTAACGCTTGGTAGGCAGCATCATTGGTTGTTTCTGTGAGGACTCATGAAGCAGGGAAAGAAAGTCAACACTTTAAAAATATATAGATTTTATTGATTTTTTTTTTTTACAAAGAGGAAGGTAGAGAGGGATACAGAGCTAGAAACATTGATGAGAGAGAAACATCGACCAGCTGCCTCCTGCACACCCCCTACCGGGGATGTGCCCGAAACCAATGTACATGGCCTTGACCAGAATTGAAAGTGGGACCTTTTAGTCCACAGACCGACGCTCTATCCACTGAGCCAAACCGGTTTCGGCAAACGGCAACACTTTTAAGACTAATACTGATGACTGCCTTTTGAAGGGTGACCACGACCTCTGCTACTTAATTAAATATTAATATTAAAGTGCAGAGACATTTTTCACCTACTTGTCACACTAGTCATAGTTCCATGAAGGTATACAAGGTGTTTGCATAGTTTTTGTTTTCCTAAAACCCAGTATAAAAATTCCGACAAACAAGTCTCAAGGGAAAGCCAATTATGGGAAGAAAATAGAACAAGCAAAAGAAGGCAAATTGGCACAGTAACATCTTTCAATACATTATATCATTGAATCATCGCACAATGCTAAAATATTATCAAACCTAATTCTGAGAATCAGATTCTGAGAAGCAAAGTAACTTGTCTAAAATCACAAAGTTAGAAAATGATAGAAATAAAATTTGAACATAGATTGGTCAGATTTCAAGCCCATTTTGATTGCATAATTGCTGATCTGTTCTTTAAACATGATTTTATAATCTAACCTTTTTAAAAATTTTAAATATTAATATTTAGTTCATTACTAGAACATATAGTTAGCCTGCTTAGTTGAAAAGAGTCACTTTGTGGTGGTCTATGAGTCATCTAAGAATAGAAAAAAAATAACAGTGGATTCAGTGACCAAGGTTCTCTTTTGTCTTCTCACCACAAAGATCATGGTGACTCCTCTTAAGGAAACCCCCAAGTAGTGGCCATATTTTTTGAGCATCTGCTTTGTGCCAGGTGGTACTTTTTGAGATGATAGAAATAAACTAAGAAACAAAACTGACAAATATCCTTTGCTTCAAGGGAGTTTACATTTTTGCTTAAGGAGACAAATGTAAATAAATCATATAAAAAGTATGTAGGATGGTGATAATTGCTATAAAGAAAAAAAAAAGCAAGAGAGAGGAGAAAGAGAGGTTAAGAGAGAGAGGTTAAGAGAGAGAGAGGTTGAGAGAGAGAGACTGAGATTCATCTTAGGTGCTATGTTAACTAAGAAGGCCTAATAAAGTGACAATTGAGTAAAGATTGAAGGAATTGTCTCTGACCCTAAAGGGAGGTGTGCAAAGCAGAGCAAAGGACCTGAGGGCAAAACTTAGATTGTCATGTTTGAGGAACAGTCCAAACCAGCACTGACTCAACCTTGCTAAGTTCTGAAATATCATGACTCTGAGAATGTTAGAAGGCATTTGAGTTAAATGAAGTCATAGTAATGAACTAGTAATAGAAAATTATATTTCTTGAGGTTGCAGACACAAAAAAAGTTTGTCTTAGTAGAACCTTTCCAAAAAAAACAAAACAAAACAAAAAAACACCTGAAATATCTAAGGGTATTTGTTTTGCCTAGAAATGGAGATATCAGCCTCTGTATGGAAGAAATGGTAATTTCCCTTCATACATATGTTTAGAAAGAAAGCTTTTACAGTGGTGTTATAAATAGTTTGAAAATCTAAAGTATATTGAGAATATTAAATGATGATGTCACCATTATAAGTGGATGTTTTGTCATTTTTTTCTCTTTGGACAGCTTTATAGAAAGCTCAATACTTATGTGGCCTTAGTGGGGCTAGAAATCTGGAATGATGAGGATAAGATAAAGATAACCCCAAATGCAAGCTTCACCTTGGAAAACTTTTCTAAATGGAGGGGGGATGTCCTCCTTAGTAGAAAGCGTCATGATGTTGCGCAGTTAATCACGTATGTATAGATTCCCCCTTTTTTTATGTCATGTGGTTTTTAGCATAAAAGTTTTCAAAGCCCTGGCAAAGCAAGTGGTATCTCAGGTTATAAGGTAAGGGGACACGATTTACACATAGAAGGTTAAAAGTTTTAAAAGTATTCATTAGGACCTTATGTTGAATATGCTCTTTTCTTTTTTAAGAAGCTAAGAATTTAATAATGATTCATAAGAAGTTTGTCTGTTTTTATTGGATGCACAGAAAGGAAAGACTGGTTTAGAGCTGTGGTTGTCAAATTGTGGCAAGGTGGTGGAAATGGGAGGGAAGTCCACTTCTGAGGGCTTTGCTCCCTTCTCTGCTTTGCTCCTGCTGCAAGGAAGCCCTATTCTTGCAGGAATCTTCCTGCAATGGGCCTCTCGTATTGATATAATACTCTAACCAATTAAACTACCAGTCCAGGAGCAAAAACTAAGGGAAATATTTAGTGATGATTCACAATGTGAATTTCTCTGTTAACCATTTAGAGTTGTTGATGAACTGTCTACTAGTATAGAAAGTAAAACTTCGAGTCATAAGTTGTCACATCAATTTCTTTCATTCTTGCAGGGCAACAGAACTTTCTGGAACAACTGTGGGTCTTGCTTTTATGTCCACTATGTGCTCCCCTTACCATTCTGTTGGCATCATTCAGGTTTGTTTAAGATAATTAGTTGGTTCTATGTTCAAAACTGTCAAAAGCTCTGTTTTGTGAATCTATTGAGTTTTTCTCCTTCACTGTTTTAACATGGCTGATTGACATTGATTGAATTTTAAATGTTGAATGTGTCTTGCATATTCAGTATACACTCAGCATGATCATAATAATGTATTATTTTGTTTATGGGATTATTCCAGGGAAAAAACATTGAAGTTATACAAATAAATATTTTAAAGGAATACCCTAGATTTGAAGAAATCTTAAAGCAATTTGAACAGTCTTGAAACACATTTCTACTTTTCTTAAACTTTTTGGTTTGTTTTTATATCCATTTGGGGAGTTATATCTTAATAGATAGCAAGGATTAACATATTTATTTCAACAGGATGAAACGATATTGTGAATGGTAGGTATTAACTTCTGATCTTACACTAGTGTTCCTTGTTTGACAGTCTTGTACTATGCATTATGAATCCATTCACTTGTTTCTTTGAAACAAAGAAGGTAATGGAATTGGGTTTCTGTGGATTGGTGTCCTCAGCAAATCTGTCTCTCCGTTGGGAAATTACAATTAGCAATGATTTTCTAGTGTTTTTTTAAGTGCTCCTATAATAGATAACTCGGAGCCCCCAGTTTAACACCTCTGATCAGAAATAATCTGATAATGAAGTTGGTCATTGGTTGGACTTCATGCAATGGGGCAAGTCTGGAATTGATAGATGTCTAATCTTGGCAGTAATAGAGTTGAAAAAGATACCTATGTGTTCTAGGTTAACCAACACTTTTAAGCTCCACTAGTTAAACATATCCAAGCCCTCCAATTCAATTAGAATGTATTCACAAGCAAGCTGGGAACTGGAGGTAAATTATTATTTTTTTAATATTTCTGATTCCTTATCACACTGAATAAATTTTGCTATCTCTCATGGCAGAAAACCACTAATATTTTTCTCATTAAAATATTCCCCATTCACAAGAAAAAAAAAAAGAGCAGGTAATATGACCTGTGATTGGGCATTCAGTATTGAAGGTTTTGTTTTATTTTATTTTGGTGAGAGAGAGAGAGAGAGAGAGAGAAGAAGAAGAAGAGAAGGGGAGGGGAGGGGAGGGAAGAAGAGAAGAAGAGGAGAGGAGAGTAGAAGACAGGGGAGGAGAGCGGAGGAGAGGAAAAGAAGGAAAGAAAAGAGGGGAGAAGGGAGGGGAGAAGAGAGGAGCGGGAGGAGAGGTTAGGAGACAGACAAAGGACAGATGATGGGTAGGGTGAATATGCTGAAGGTAAAATCAGCCTCTCCACTGGGCTACAGTAAAAATATTTAATTATACCCTGAGTGATAATTTAGTTTACAAGGTAGATCTGTTTCCTGTTCTCACCCTTAGGACCACAGTGACAATGTGCTTAGAGTTGCAGGGACAATGGCCCATGAAATGGGCCATAACTTTGGAATGTTTCATGACTCCTATGTTTGCAAGTGCCCTTCTACAATTTGTGTCATGAACAATGCACTAAGGTAAGGCTCACTGGGAAGAAGTTATTCCCCCCTGTTTTTTGTTTTGTTTTTCAATTCTCTCTGGGATGTGCTACTCTTTTATGTCATCTTCCATAACATGGTCAAGGTTTTAAATGATTACATAGCATAGTCAAGAATGTGTAACTATACCAAACTATTTTATCTCTCCTCTATATGCTAATATTTTTTTTCACTAACACATAATTTAAACATAATTTAAACTCTTTGTTCTTGGGGGGACTTATCATTTTATCCTCATCTTTATGAAATCATTAGCATTTATGGAATTTTGAATAAATTTAGATGGGGTGACAGTAAGGAAAAAGTTCTAAGAGAAAATTCAAAAAAGGAAAGTTCTTACAGGAAGTTAAAGAGAGAGTCTATGAAAAGAGATTACTCATTTCTGCCTTGCCTTAGGCAAATTTACCAGGCAATTTTATCTTTAAAAATTTCAGACTCCCTTTTATACATTCATTTTATCTTTTTCATTTCCTTCTAAGCTTCTCAATATAAGATTAGTCTCCATTCTGTAAAATAGAATATGGCTGCATGCCAACTATAATCTGATGCTATCTTTTCAAAATATTAGTGCATTTTACATACAAAGGCCTGGTGCATGAATTCACGCATGGGTGGGGCCCTTCTGGGTGGCCTGCATGGAGCAGCTGAAACCTGCAGTCCAACACCGCCTGCAGTTCCTACCTGCTGCTCCCTCTCATCCCATCCCCACTGCACCTGCCATGGGCTCGCACCCAATCAGTCCTGATTGGGAGAGGCTTGTGCTGCCATGGCAGCGCTTGCCAGCCATGATCCCTGCATCTGGTGCCCTCCTGAGGGGAGTGGGTGCAAGATCTGGCTGAAACCAGCTTTCTGACATCCCTCAAGGGGTCCCAGGTTGTGAGAGGGTGCAGATCAGGCACACTGGTGCACAATTGGGCCCAGAAGGGACTGCAGGAGGGCTCCAGGGCATGTCCAGCCCATCTCATTTAGTCCTGATAGGCTTGACCTCAGCAGCAAGCTAACCTACCAATCAGAGCATTTACCCCCTGGAAGTCAGTGCACATCATAGCTAGTGGTTGAGTGGCCTTAGCATATCATTAGCATATTACACTTTGATTGGTTGAACAGTCAACTGGTCACCAGACAACCAGGCACTTAACATATTAGGCTTTTATTACATAGCACTAGAGGCACAGTGCACAAAATTCATGCATGGAGGGGGGGCGGTCCCTCAGCCCAGCCTGCACCCTCTCCAATCTGGGACTCCTTGGGGGATGTCCGACTGCTAGTTTAGGCTCCTACTGGCAGTTGGACATTCCTCTCACAATCTGAGATGGCTGTCTCCTAACTACTTGCCTACCTACTGGTTTGATTGCCGCCTAACTGCTCCCCTACTGGTCTCATTGCCCTCCCCTGCTGGTCTGATCTTGCCCCCAACTGCAATCCCCTGCCAGCCTGATATCACCTCCAATGGCTGTCCCTTGCCAGCCTGATCTTGCCGCCAATGGCCCTCCCATGTTGGCCTGATCTCACCCCCAACTGCCCTCCCCGCCAGCCTGATCACCCTTAACTGCCTCTACCTTGGCCCCCACTACTGTGGCTTTATCCAGAAGGAAGTCAGACAGTAGGAAGATGTCCATTCTTCTGCTCTAATTAGCATATTACCCTTTTATTAGTATAGATATTTTATTGATTTTAGAAAAGGAAAGAAATAGAAATATCAAAGATGAGAGAGAATCATCGATCAGCTGCCACCTGCAGGCCCCACTTTAGAGATTGAGCCCACAACCTGTGCATATGTCCTGATAGGAAATCAAATCCTGACCTCCTGCTTCATCATTCAACACCCAACCACTGAGCAACACCAGCTGGGCTGCATTTTTGTTTTTTTAAATAGCAACCTGGATTTTGTATTTTGCTCATTTAGTTGGAGGTGTTTATGTCCATTCAGGTGAGCTAATTTGACTTGGCAGCTGATCAGTGGCTTTGATTTTCTCTTTTGGGGAAGATTTCAGGTGTATCATGTCCAATGTCTGATATTTCTCCCATACCTGTTCAGCATGACTGCATTCTCTTTTCTCTTTCCATCTCTTCACAGCTTCTATATACCTACAGACTTCAGTTCCTGCAGCCGTGTCAGCTATGACAACTTTTTTGAAGATAAATTATCAAATTGCCTCTTTAATGTTCCTTTGCGAACAGATATCATATCCAACCCGATCTGTGGGAATCAGTTGGTGGAAGTGGGAGAGGACTGTGATTGTGGGACTTCCGAGGTACAGCTGAGTCCTTTGTAAAAAACGTTTAGCTTGCTTTTCAATTGTCAAGAAGATAAACTATAAACCTCTATAATTTTATATACACTTGAAATCTATTTAATTTTATTAACCAACATCACCCTGATGCATTTAATTTAAAAATAAAATAAAACACTTTTGAGATATATTTTTTAAAACGATGTAATGTGGTTCACTATGAAAGTTCATGTGTCTTGTGTTTTTTTGTATATTCACTTGTAAACACTTGCCAGGCCAGCTTTTCTAACAATGAATCCTACATTGCTTAACAGAACTTCTTGAGTTTCTTTCCCATATCTAGTTTTTTAAATACCACTCTCCAAGCCAGGCTTTGTGTCCTCATCCCTCCCTTTTTGTCAGAAGTACTTCACATTTCTCTTTTCTTTAAAAAAAATATATTTTATTGATTTTATTTATTTATTTATTTTTTACAGAGAGGGATAGAGAGTTAGAAACATGGATGACAGAGAAATATCGATCAGCTGCTTCCTCCATACCTCCTACTGGGAATGTGCCAGTCCACAGGCCCATGCTCTATCCACTGAGCCAAACTGGTTAGGGCAACTTCACATCTCTTATGTGCCCTATGACTTCTTGAGAATTCAGTTTAGACAGAGCACTGAGACAGTGCTCAGAGAGTGGACGTAGCTTGCCCGAGGTCACCAGGCTGGTAAACGAAGGAGCCACAGTTTGGACTCAGGTGTGCTATTCAGCAGCCCCACAGCACCCTGCACTGTCTACCCCTTGCTGACTCAGGATTTTTACCATTATAAGTGCCTGGCTGATCCCACCTTGTTCACAGGGCATCCGGGATTCTGCATAGGACCCTTGCCCAGCTCTTATTAACACTTAATATAAGTAACATGTCAAACCCTCAGGGGTCCAGTGTCTCAATAACTTTAAGTAGGATTTCAGATCTATTCATTCTATGAGAAAGAAGAAATTTTCTCAGGTGATACTTATAATGAAATTGGGTAAGAATTTTAAGCTTAAAATATTGTATTTCTGAATATACCATTCTTCTTGAGGAATCTCAGTGGCTACAATGAGAAAGAAGCATGATTTCTCAAACACTAGGCAAGGAGAACAAAACAAGTATACTGCTTTATGTAGAGTTGAATTGAACGTAGAAATTTAATAAAGAATTATAGTTTTATTTATTTATTTTTCTTTAAATATATTTTATTGATTTTTTACAGAGAGGAAGGGAGAGAGATAGAGAGCTAGAAATGTCAATGAGAGAGGAACACCAACCAGCTGCCTCTTGCACACCCCCTACTGGGGATGTGCCCACAACCAACGGACATGCTCCTGACCGGAATTGAACCTGGGACCTTTCAGTCCGCAGACCTACGCTCTACCACTGAGCCAAACCGGTTTCGGCAAATAAAGAACTATAGTTTTAGACTTTCAGTTACATGTTTTGGATATTAACTTTACTGCTGAATAGGTACATAACTGATCAGTTGAACTAATTATGTTCTTCATTTAGATAAATGTTATTTTTAAATAAACTGTCCTTTGTGTGTTGCTTGCTCTCATACTTTCAGTATTATTATGGGAAACTTGATGAAAAAAAAATCTTCAAATTTAAAAGATTTATAAGTAGAATTTAGAAAAATACCAAACCCTTGGTTGCTCTAAAATCTCAGTTTTTTTAATGTCCAGCTTTGTTGTTGTTTTTTAATTTTCCTGAAAGTTATGTTCAGATTATACCAAAATGAGGTCTGGGCAATGAGCAAATTGTAGTATGAATTGTGCTGAAAGAGAGACCAAGTAATTTGGCATTTGCAATTGTTTCTGGTATTCCTTAGGAATGCACCAACATCTGCTGTGATGCTAAAACATGTAAAATCAAGGCAGGTTTGCAATGTGCATTAGGAGAATGCTGCGAAAAGTGCCAGGTAAGATTCTTTTATTCTGTCTTAATAATTATGACTACCTTTATTTTTCCATGTTAATCTCAGGGGTTGTGTTAAATGAAATAGACAAAACAGCATTTTTCTGTCTCTATATAATGCTACCTGCCACTTATCAACTCCTCCTTGAAGGCTTGACAAATATGGGCTATTTGGTCCTCATTAGCATATTACACTTTGGTTAAATAGTTGACTGGTCACTGGACAACCAGACACTTAGCATATTATGCTTTTATTATATAGTTTATTTTATTGATTTCAAAGAGGGAGAGAGATAGAAACATCAAAGATGAGAAAGAATCATTGATCAGTTGCCACCTGCAGGCCCCACATTAGAGATTGAGCTTACCTTTGCTTTGAAGTAGGTCTTATTATCTCATTTTGCTTTTGAAGGAAAAGAGGCTCAGAACAGAAAATATGAAGAATAATGGAATCACTAAATGGCAAACTCCAAATTTACTGGTTCCATAGCCAATACACTTATCTACTGCTTCTTAAGATACTACCTGCCCTTCTTGGGCCAAATCTCATAATTAGTTGTAAATTTCTTTAATAATTAATTTGGTGGTAAAACTTTTGTTTTGAATAATATTGGAGTTCCCCTATCTTCTTTCTGTGAAGTCACTTCAGGGTGAATTTCATAGAAAGCAAGACATAAAATGAGGATGCCATGTCTGTCTCTATACAGCCTTTTGGTTTTTCCTTCAAGTTAAAATGTAGCATTTTACATTCCATTGTTGCATAGAGTTTTATGTAATGGCCATTTATTTATGTGCCTTTCTCCTTTGTTAGAATGGCTCCTAAGAGCAGTAAACTGTCATTCTCACCCAGCACAGAATTCCATGCAGTGCAAATGCTCAATAGCTATTTGTGAAAGGAATGTGTAAATTGGCTACCAGGTTATAGATAATGTTTGGGATAAGGTTTTTGTGTTGTTATTATGTCAGAGGAAGAGGAAAGAAATAGAGGAGGCTAAAAGGAAGGAAATTTGAGAACTTAATTAGTATTCAACAAGTGTTTATCACATTCTATTTGTTAATTATTATGGAGGATGTAAAAAAAAAAGCTGTCTTTTACCTCAAAGAACTTGAAATTTCATCAGGGCAATGAAATACATGCCTAAAGCAGATGAAAATACAATGCATGGTTGAATGCCCAGGTAGATATGATAATGGCATATGCCCTTTGTGTAAAACTTTTCACAAAGAACTTGTAAATTAAGACTTTGACGGAAAATCGATTTTAGAGAGATTAAATTAATTTTCTAAGGTTACACACTTGAGCACTGGCAGAGCCAAGATTCAAATCTGCACCTTCCAAATCTGAGCTCAGGCCACGCTCCCCACCACATGTAGAAACTTGACCTGGGGTTGTGAATGAACAATACAGTGAACAGATGATGTGTGTGGAATTGTGCACCTGAAACCTGTGGAATTTCATTAACCACTGTCACTCCAATAAATTCCATCAGGCAATCAATCAGAAAGGAAAAAGGAGCAACTATATGTGTGGAAGAAATCAGAGGAGCCATCACAGAAAGTGAGGAGGTCAAACATAGCTGGAAAGTAATGAATAGATTTTAGAGAAGTAGATGGAAAGAGAAAATTTTTTGAAATTTTTTGAAAAGGGGGCTGAGAGAAAGAACAAAGACAGAACAGAAGGTATAAGCCTATTTTGCAAAGCTAGGCCAGCTATAGCAGTGGGGGTTGAATTGAGAGGGTCTCATATGATCCAATTTACATTTAGATCATGTTCTGTCACCAGCATAAAGATATTGAAAGTATTCTGATGATCTGAGAGCCTGCTCGTTCACTTCCGCTAGGGAAAGCTATGCTTCCAGTGTCTACACAGGCCTCTTCAGATTTGGATAAAAGATCTGTATAGACACTGGAAACAAGAGCAAGATTTGCAGCAGTAGATTGCAATGACATTGATATACCAAATGAATATTTGGGTATTTCTCCCTCATTATAAAATATTCCATAAGTAGAAGTGAATTGAAAAGGAATATCTGAACAAGCAATAAGAGGAATTAAGAATTAGGAAACATGATGCCTGGGAAAGTCTCAAAGCATGTGGAATTGGTGCTTGTAAACTTACCTCCCTCAAGATAGAAGATCTTCTGAAGCTACAGATCGAAACCTCCTTTGAAAGTCTTGACAACGATGCATTCAATAAAGTCAGAAATAACTTCCTTCTTTACATCTAGGGTATTGCTTGGTTTTCTTTGGTGCTTTTCTCATTGATATTTCTACAATGTTTCTACTAAAAATTCAGAAATATTGACTGCTTAAAGAATCAGGGTGTTGGCCAAAATCAATGGAACTGACATAATAGGAGATGGTTTTAGCTTATACCATATAAATGTAAAGTGGAATAGAATGATGCCCCTATCTGTCTTGGCAAAGAAAGGCCAAAGGGAAAATATTATTTGTGTTCATTTGAAATATTTGGTAAGCAAGGTGGAATACAGCCTTCTCTCAATTTCCCTCCCTGCAGTTTAAAAAGGCCGGTACAGTGTGCAGACCAGCGAAAGATGAGTGTGACCTGGTGGAAATGTGTGATGGTAAATCTGGTATTTGCCCTGCTGATCGATTCCAGGTCAATGGCTTCCCCTGCCAGGATGGGAAGGGCTACTGCTTGATGGGGATGTGCCCCACACTGCAGGAGCAGTGCACTGAGCTCTGGGGAGCAGGTAGGAGGACACACCCCAGTGTCGCTGGCACTCCTGCCTCTCTCAACACACATGCAGCAAAACAAAACATGTTATTGCAAGTGACAGTGTTTAATCATGGCCAAAGTGGCATTCTGTCCCAACCTTCTCTCTTAGCAAATACACCCCTGCATTTTAGAACCAAAGGTCAGTTTGCGGTTTGCTAGATCTAGCAAATAAAAATAAGAATTGGGCCAGTGAAATTTAAATTTCAGATTAACAATTTTTAAAAAAATATTTGTATGTCTCGTGCAATATTTGAGGAAAACTCAAACAAAAACCTTTCTTTGTGTATCTGAGGTTTAAATTTAACTGCTGGGTTCAGTATTTTATCTGGTAACCCTAACCAAGATCTTTTACAGATAAGTAAACCATTGGAAGTTCATGTGCATGTATGTGCATACTAGTACGTGTGCATGTGTTCCCGTGTGTGTGTAGGTGTGTGGAGGTGATCAGAGGTGGACAGAGAGTTAAAGAAAGGGGGAGTAGAGAAAAGGAAGACACTTGGAATGCAGAAGAGCAATGAAAAAAAGTGAATTCTTTTTAATGTTTATTTTGTACATAATACCAGAATTTTAGAGGCTATATTCTCTAATTATAGAATAAAAAATAAAAGCGTAACTCAAAAATCTGCAAAAATTTTAAACCAAAATTTTAATTCTTCTAAATAACTATTAGAAAGGCAATTTTAAAAATATCAATTATTTGGGCTTCCTGGATATAATGCATTGTATATTATGTACTGAGTGGCCAGAATATTATGATCTCTGAATGCATAATAATCTGGCTACCAGTGCATGAATTTGTGCATGGGTGGGGTCCAGCCAGCCTGGCCAGGGGGAGGAGACATGGGCAGTTGGCCAGCCTGCCTGCTGGTCGAACTCCAGGTTGAGGGGACAATTTGCAAATTAGCCTTTTATTATATAGAATGTACATTGAGTGGACATATTATTATGCATTCAAAGATCATAATAATCTGGCAACTCAGTATATATATATATATATATATATATATATATATATATATATATATAATTTTCATAACCTTTTTGCCACACTCCCAAATTCCTACTTAAATGGTTAGAGGAATCTTTTTCAAATATGGAGAATACATATTCTTAAAATTATTTGAAGAGAATTATCACATGCCAGAAACATTTTATAATTTCTAGAAATATACAAGATAAAATATTAGGAAAGTAAAAGTAATTATTGACTCACAATACACCCAAAATAAAATAAATAAATGGACATAAATCTAGAAAAATTCTTCAGTAAAACCATGAGTGTCAGGGAAGCATGGGCTGAAACTCAGCTTAAAGAACAAAGCTTGATACCAAGTGAATCTTCTACACTTAAACTGGCAAAGCTGGGATGCAGCTAATGCCTAATGTTGGCGAAGATGTGTTAAAACATCTAGGTTCACACACTATGGTAAGAATATGATTCAGCACAATCTTTTCAGAGAGAATTTGGAAAAAAATGCATATACAATCTTAAAAAAAGTACTTTTTTTCCTAAAAATTATACCTGAGAATATTTATTTACAAGTCTTTACCCAGTACTTTTCAAAAATAATAGTGGATATTTGGAAAATATCTCCAATTTCAGGAATAAGGACTAGTAAAATACGTTATAGTCTACCTATCCAGTGATTTCATTACAGCTATGGTACTATAGAACATTTAATTCCTGGATAAAGGACAATTAGAAAAAATAATCTATGAAGAAGTATACCAGGTATATGAATAATACTTTCCACAATATTAGCAGTAGTAACTCTGAATTTTGAGGATTAAGAATATGCTTTTTTTCACCATGGATGGAACTAGAAGATATTATGCTAAGTGAAGTAAGCCAGTTAGAGAAAGGCAAATACCACATGATTTCACTTATATCGAATATGTGGGATCTAATGAACAAAATAGAAACAAATTCATGATACAGAGAACAGACTGACAGCTGTTAAAGGGGAGGGGGTGTTAGAGGCTGGGTAAAAAAGTTGAAGGGATTAAACAGTACAACTTGGCAAGTGCAGAATAGCCAAAGAGATGCAGATGACAGCATGGGGAATATAGCCAATGACATCTGTAAAACTGGGTATAGTGCAGGTGGGTGCTTCAGGGAGTAGGGAGCCACTCTGTAGAGTACATGGTTTTCTGGCCACTTTGCTATACATCTGATACTGGTGTGGAATGGTACTGCATGTAAACTGTGGATATATATATATATGTATATATATATATATACACACACATATACATTTAATAAATATATATACATATATATGTATGTTTTTCCCAGATTATTCCAATTTTTAGTGTAGACATTTTATTATAATGAGGGACTAATAAATGCTACTAAGATACAAATTTAAAAAAATACGGTAATAAACTAATTTTATCATCTTGGACATTGAAACATAAATTTATTTAAAGTGATTCTTACCATTTGCAACAGCATGGATGGAACTGGAGAGCATTATGCTAAGTGAAATAAGCCAGTCAAAGAAAAATAAATATCATATGATCTCACTCATTTATGGAATATAATGAACAACATAAACTGATGAAAAAAAACAGATCCAGAGACAGAGAAGCATTGATCAGACCGTCAAACCTCCTAGGGAAGGTAGGAGTAAGAGGGAGAGTTCAATCAAAGGACTTGTATGCATGCATATAGGTCTAACCAATGGACATAGACAACAGGGGGGTAGGGTAAGGGCATAAGTGGGAGGATGGAGGTAATGAGGGGACAAGGATACATATGTAATAACTTAAACAATCAATACATAAAAAATAAAATAAAATGGTTTGAGTTTACAAATGGTTTGAATTTTAAAATATATATATTTTAGTGATTTTTTACAGAGAGGAAAGGAGAGAGATAGAGAGTTCGAAACATAGATGAGAGAGAAACATTGATCAGCTGCCTCCTGTATGTCTCCTACTGGGGATGTGCCCACAATCAAAGTACATGCCCTTGACCAGAATCGAACCTGGGACCTTTCAGTCCGCAGGCTGACACTATATCCACTGAGCCAAATTGGTTAGGACTAGAATAATTTTTCTTTAAACCAGTGCAATATCTTCACAGATTTTTTAATTATTTTTGCATAGTTTGTTGTTTTTTGAAAGACTGAATTCAAATTTTTTCCCATGTTATTTATTGATATTTATGAGGGGCATCTCATACAGAACAAGAGCATAAGTCTTGTGTGAAGTCTGATTTTTTTATCTTTCTCCATGACTTAGCCAGTATGATTCTCAAATTCCTTGTTGATAATATGGTGGCTAATATTTCTCAACCATGTACCACTGACTGACCGCTCTGATTGGCTCACATATACTCACTCATTTAATCCTCAGAACAGCACTCAGGTTGGTACTATTATATATCCTCATTTTACAGCTGAGCAAACTGCCTGAGGTCACACAGCTGCTCAGTCTTAATACCTGAGTTGCTAACCACCATGTTCTGTTGCTTATCTGACAGGGATCTGAGGAAGATTACACGAGAAATTAAATATGTGATGCTCATTGCTCTTCTTGGCAAAACAGGAGTTTGACAAGTATAGCACTGGTTGCCACAATAGGAGCACATAGCAGCAGGATGGCATTCCATTGCTTGCTTGCGAGTTAATGTAATGGCTGTGGCTCTTCTGGTTCTATCTCCATATTTATATAGATTTCTGGTAACTTTAAGCAAATAATTCGGATGTTTTCAAATACCTAGATAACCATTTATTCAGAAAGAGAATATTTAGACATTGTTTTTAATTCCAGTCAGCACTCTTAATATCAAATTGTTGCAGGCTGTAATTCTGAGAATGAGTATTCCATCCTATGCTGCATAACTAGGTTTCCATCAATGACAAATCACACATATTATGGTGGCTTCGCAAGATTATAATGGAGATGAAATTTTTTTATTGCATATTGATGTCGTAGCCATTGTAATGTCATAACACAATGCATTACTTGTGTCTGTAGTGATGCTGGTGTAAACAGACCTACTACACTGCCAGTTGTATGAAAGCATAGCATGTACAATTATGTACAGGACATAATACTTAAGAATGAAAATTTAAAAAATTATATTATTGGTTTGTTTATTTACTCTAGTGTCCTTTTATTCATTATTTTTGAATGCTCTACTTGCATAAAAATTTTCTGCGGCAAAACAGTATGTCTAGTTATGTTGACAGCAGTCTCATACATCTCATGTATACTGTTAATGCAACATCTCCTTATTATAGATTTAATTTCATGTTGTTCAGCATGACTCCTACATGTACAAAATCCACTTCTAATATTGCCAGTAAGAGGCCACACTGAGTGATTGGCCTGGAAATAAAATTTAAAATGGTAGTTTTGTTTGCCAGTCAGGCATGTCCCATTCCACCACAGCTATGATCTTGAAGAAAAAAAACAAAGTGACAAGCTGTTAAAGGATCAGCTTCGTTGAAGGCAATGGACTAACAAAAATTTAAGAACCCTATGATTTCACTATTATGTGGAATATAAAACTGAAAGCAACAAATAAACAAAACAAACAAAAACGTATAGGCATAGACAATAGCATGGCAGGTTACCAGAGAGAAAGGGGGGTGGGGTAGTAAAGGATAAAAGGGGTTCAAATATATGGGTGACATAAGGAGTTTGACTTTGGGTGGCTAACACGCAGTACGATACACAGGTGATGTGTTATAGAACTGTACATTTAAAACTAGAGGGCCAGTGCACAAAATTCGTGTATGGGGGAGGGATCCCTCAGTCTGGTCTGCACCCTCTCCAATCTGGGACCCCTTGAGGGTTGTCCCTCTCACAATCCAGGACCGCTGGGTCCTAGCCACTCACCTGCCTGCCTGCCTGCCTAATCACCCCTAACCACTTTGCCTGCTTGCCTGATCCCCGTAACTGCTCTCCTCTGTTGTCCTGATCACCACTAACCACCTCTGCCTTGAACCCACTACTGTGGCTTTGTCTGGAAGGACGTCCTGTCTAATTAGCATATTACCCTTTTATTAGTATACATGTTATCCCAATAAATTAAATAAAAAAAGAAAAAATTGAAAAAGGATTATATCCACATAGAGAAAGTTCTAATGACCTGGATTGAAGACCAGACACAGAAGCATGGCCCTCTTAGCACCATGGCAATCACAGCCAAAGCAAAAAAGTTTATGTTGACAGAAAGGCAGCCTCTGACTACAATGTTGAATTTACTGCTAGCTCTGGGTGGTTTAAATGTTCCAAGAATCCTTATTCATTACACAATGTGAAACTGAGTAGTGAGTCTGCAAATTACTGATGTGAAGGCAGCTAAATAACTTTTGAAAATTATAGATAAGCTAATTGTAGAAGAAAAGTACTTGCCAGAGCAAATATTCCCGATGAATGAAACCCTATTCTAGAAGCAGATCAGTGAGGCCATTCAATACTGAGTTTCAAGGTTTTAAGGACAGGATAATAGTCTTGCTTGGGGGCAGTGTTACAGGCTACAAATCGAAACCCTTTGTGATCTGGCACAGTGAGAACACCAGAGTCTTCAAGCTTATCAGTAAGCACAAGCAGCCATTGTACTACAGGAGCAATAACAAGATATGAATGACCCAACTTCTCTCCAGGATCCTCTCCTAAATTGCTGTGCCAATGAAATGGAGAAGTACAGTTTGGAGAGTAGTGTGCCTTTCAAGACTTTGCTTGTTGTTGATCATGCTCTTGGACATCCTCCTTTTATTGGTGATCTTCATCCCAACATCAATAAAAGGAGCCTCAGGCAGAGCCTCCAGGAGAAGGCACTGCCATCAGAGGGCGGGGCAGCTCCAGGAGTTACTGTCCCGATCACCCTTGTGGGCAAGGTGTGCAGTTGGAAGACAGTGATGGTGATGATCCTGACGCTAGCTAGGCACATGTGGCCCTTTGGCCCCTTGAGTGTGGCTCTTCCACAAAATACCACTGCCTGGGTTAGTCTATTTTGAAGAAGTGGCATTAGAAGAAGTTTAAGCTTAAAAAATTTGGCTCTCAAAAAAAATTTCAATCGTTGTACTGTTGATATTTGGCTCTGTTGACTAATGAGTTTGCCGACCACTGACCTAGGCTAATGTGTGTGCTTTATATCTTTGTTTTTTAACAAAAACATTTAAAAAATAAAATAAATAAATAAATAAATAAATAAATAAATGTAATAAAGACTTCTAGAATAAGTATATAAAGAAAAATTATGCACAGCTTTGTACAATGAGTTTGTGTTTTAAACTCTGTTATTATAAAGTAGTTTAAATGTTTAAAAATATAAAAGTAAAGAAGTATAAGTAGGCTAAGTTTCTTTTATTATTGAAGGACAATTATCTTCTTACAAATTTAGTGTAGCCTAAGTGTGCAGTGTTTATAAAGTTTATAGCAGTGTACAGTAATGTCCTAGGCCTTTACATTTTCTCACCACTCATTCCTGACCCCGAGCCACTTCCAGTCCTGTGAGCTCCATTCATGATAAGTGTCCTACACAGCAGTTCCATTTATCTTTTATACCATAATTGTATTGTACCTTTTCTTGTTTAAATATATGAATACTTACCATTGTGTTACAATTGCCTAGAGTATTCAATACAGTAATACGCTATACAGGTGTGTAGCTTAGGAACAATAGGCTATACTTATTGTGGTTGGCAAACTCATTGTGGCTGACGAGCATGTGGCTCGTGAGCTGTGGTTTGCCGACCACTGGGCTATACCATATGGCCTAAGTGTGTCGTAGGCTATACTCTCCAGGTTTGTGTAAGTAAATGATATTCACACAACAAAATCACTTAAGATGCATTTCTCATAATGCATTGCTATTGCTAAGCAATGAATAACTATATGCTAAAATAGCATTTCTCATGATGTTTTTAAATGTATTTTATTTTTCAATTACAGTTTACATTCAAAACTATTTTGTATTAGTTTCAAATATACAATCAAGTGGTTAGACCTTCATATAATTTACACGGTGGTCCCCCTGATATTTCAAGTGTCCATCTGGCATTGTGCATAGTTATTACAATATTGTTGACTATATTCCCTATGCTGTTGGTTTTATATTCCATTAACCCTTTGCAGCATTGAACTTTCTTTCTGTTTTCTTTGAAAATATGTTCCTACTGATTCTGCCTGGTCCCAGGAGCCGAGGTTGCAAATAAGTCATGCTACAGGAAGAACGAAGGTGGGTCAAAGTATGGGTACTGCCACAGAGTGAACGACACCCGTATTCCCTGTAAAGCAAAGTAAGTGGCCTTCAAACAATACTTTGAACCTGCCTGCTCCACAGACTAGAGAAATTGCTCACTTCCAGCTACATGTTCTGATTTATTCCATTTCAAGAAAAAGTTAATTTGGAAATCTTTCATTTGACAGATAGTCATTGAGTGACTGTTACATGATGTTTCTAGTTAGGCACCAAGCTATCAAGAGAAATAAAAATTAATGCCTTTTTTCAAGTCCGTCCTAGTGGGTGTTTTAAATGACATTAGGTACAATCACTGTTAAAGAGAATGCATGTTTGAAATGGGACAAGCTGGTTGGAAAAATGTCCATTGATTTTCCAGGATATTTTAGGTACTTTCTCAACTGATATCTTTCGTTATGATTCTAGGGGCACAAATATTTACCTACACAGAGAAATAATTAATAAATACTTGTATAGTTTTATGTAAACTTGCCATGGAATTATATAAAGAAAAAAAAAACAGCAAGAGAAAAAAAATTGACAATTCACCTGAAGAATGTTTTAATCTTACATTTATATTATAGAAAAAGTATAGAATATTATATGCAATAAACTTGGTATTTTCCTATAAGATTTTTTTGGTTGTGCAATTTTAAGATGACATTAAAAATTCAAATTATACTAGATTAAACTCCTTGTAACCTGCTCCAAATGTTTCACTAAGTGATGTGCAACAAGAGGTTAAACAAGCATTTCTCAAAGTTTTTCTATTAAATACTAATTTTTTAGATGATAGATATTGCCAAGCAAAGTGTATTTTGTGTCGTTTTCTAAAATTTTTCAAAGCAAAATGTATTTTACACATGGGATAATCTCTTGGGGATTAAAGGATGGAATATCACATTCTGTGCTCTCTCCTTTATAGGAGATCAGGGCAGATTCAAAAGGAGGAAATATGTAAAAGGAAATATTTCGGGGGAAAGAGAGCAATAGGTAGTAGGAGTGGTAGTGAGTGGGGAAAAGAGAGCAGGGTCGTTGCGGTTTTTCATTGACAGCATGCGCATATCCCCTTTTCTTATATCACCAACTGCATGAGCGTTGGCTAATTATATACTACAACTAGAGGCACAAGCATTTCATTCTCCTCACAGGCTGCCTTTCTAGTCACGTTGTAATAGTAACTGATCCGCTGTATCCTAGAATCTTCATTATAAACTTCCCTTAAGTGGTTCAAGAAAAACAAGTTCGAAGAGGATGCATGCCTTTCTCTACTGCTCACTCATATTTTTCAACCACCACCAAAGACATTAGAAGGATCTGGTTCTATCTGCTCTCAGAATGCTTTTTCACAGCCCTCCTCTGAATTCTGCATAAAGCAGTCGTCTGCACTTTTATCGGCGTTGACATTACTCTGTTGGTAAACACATGGTTTTCTTGAGTGCTGAGCAGTGTCATCTGCCATTGCAGGGAGATAGTGCTTTCAGTAACCCCACATGAGGATCAACTAAGGCTAAGATTTATATTGACACCACCATAGTGGAAATTATTCTACTGCAATTCATGAAAATAAATAAGAAAAATTAGCTGAAACAAGATAGAAATTGACTTCCTATGTACACCCTCCATTGTATTGATATTAGGAATCCATTCTCCTTATATTTTCTAGTTCTATCACATATGTGATCTCCATTCTCAAGCATTTCTCTTGGTCTGTGTTGGCTTCAGAAAGCCAGCCATCACTTTCCAGTAAGCAAAAAGGACAAATAAACAAACAAATAAGAACAACAAAGTAAGGCCACCTTCAAGAATTTGTACTTACTAGTAAGATTCTGCTTCTTTCCCATGGTCCAAAACTAGCAGCATGGGAATCTGGAAAATGTGTTTTTGTTGTTGTTACAGCAACAATATACCTTCCCATATTCAATGGTGCTATTACTGAGGTATAAGAAAAATCCTATATAATAATAGGCTAATATGCAAATCAACCAAACAGCAAAACAGCAGGTTGATATGACTTGCACTGACCACCAGGAGGCAGATGCTCAACACAGGAGCTGACCCCTTGTGGTCAATGTGCTCCCATAGGGGGCCGCTGCTCAGTCAGAAGCTGGGGTCATGGCTGGAGCCTCTGTGGTGAGCAGGCCTAAGCTCTCAGTGGGACATCCCCTGAGGGCTCCCGGACTGCAATAGAGTGCAGGTAAGGCTGAGGGACACCCCCCCCCCCGAGTGCACAAATTTTGTGCACAAGGCCGCTAGTTTTGATATAAAGGAGAACCAGGAGTCTATGCTATAGAAAGAAATACCATTAGTTCAATCTGGATAGTTGGGGAACTATCAACTGCAATTTGGGTCCTGGTTATTTAACTGCAGCCCTTTTTTTTTTTTTTTTCTTTTCCTTAGTGATGTCACATGTGGGAAGTTATTCTGTCAAGGTGGGTCAGATAATTTGCCCTGGAAAGGACGTATAGTAACTTTCCTGTCATGCAAAACATTTGATCCTGAAGACAGCAGTGAAGAGATAGGCATGGTAGCCAATGGAACAAAGTGTGGAAATAAGAAGGTAGGTTGAAATCGTGGCTTTTATTCAAATGTTTTTTTAGTTGTAGTTTCTGTTTAGTTTTTCAAGGCCTCCTTGTGTTTCATAGGAGCAGTTTTCAAAGCAATGCTTATATCATTCATTTAGGCCTTTCTGCATATATTCCTTCAACATTATTTCATCAGTACCTATTATGTGCTTAGCACTAGGTTGTTAAACTTTGATAAGTTTTATTGCCCCTAAATTGGTAGGTTTTCAGTGAAATATAGTCTCGCTGATAATAATAAAGAAGTTAAAAATATTATTTATTTTTATATAAATTATAATTGTTAATATTGCAGAAGATGTGATATTAACATGTTTTCCGTAATATTTTTTGTGGGAAATGGGTACCTTCTATCATGTGCTATGCTCAGCTCTATTATAAATATTAGTCTTAAGAGAGGAGGTGGGTTAAGGGGATGACCCCTGAGGAATGAAGTGAAGTAAGAAAATCTTTAAAGAGGACTCTCTAAATATTTTATTTTATATATCTCCATCTATCTTTATCTCTATCTCTATTTCTATCTATCTCTATCTCTATTATCTATATCTTTGCATCTTTATTGTTGAAAGTGCTACATATGTCCCCATTTTCACCTGTTTATCTCATCTAGCCTGATCCACTAACTGCACTAGGCCTTCACCACCCTATTGTCTGTGTCTATGGGATATGCACATATGCATACAAGTTCTTGGTTGATCTCTTCCCACCCACTCACTCTGCCTTCCCTCTAAGATTATGTAAATCCAATCTTCCTATTTTCAAAAGAATGCTGTGATTTCCCTAATGAAAAGGTAAGTTTAATAATGATAATAGTGGCTAATGACATAAGATCAAGTTTCAAACAATTTGAAGAACTGATACTATTGGGACATTAGTATCAACTTCTTGTTTTTCCCATCATTTTCAGGTTTGCATTAATGCAGAATGTGTAGATATCGAGAGAGCCTACAAATCAACCAATTGCTCATCTAAGTGCAAAGGACATGCTGTAAGTTTTGAAAATGTTTGCCCAATCTTGCTAAATCGTATGTAATTTTTAGGTCAGTTTTGATTATATAAAAGAATGTTTCAGTAACTGAGAAAAAAGAAGGATCTCTTACCCTTTGAGACATCATTGAGGGGTCTGGAGATTATTATGCTAAGCTAAATAAGCCAGTCAGAGAAAGACAAATATCCCATGTTCTCACTTATATGTAGAGTCTAAAGAACAAAATAAACTGACAAACAAAAATAGGTCCAGAATCACGGAAGTATGCAACAGTCTAACATCAGAGAGAAGGAATAAGGCAGGAAGAGACTAACCAAAGAACATATGCATAGCCCATGGACATAGACAATAGTGTGGTGAAGGTCTGGGGAGGGTACAGGGGAGAGAAAAAGAGGTCAAGATGGGAGGAGAAGATTGATATTTGTAATACTTTCATCAATAAGGATATTTTTTTTAATCCACCAACCCAAAAAATAAAGCTTATTTTTGTCTAACCAGTGGTTCTCAACCTTTCTAATGCTGCGACCCTTTAATACAGTTCCTCATGTCTTGGTGTTCACCCCCAACCATAAAATTACTTTTGTTGCTACTTCATAACTGTAATTTTGCTCTGTTATGAATCATAATGTAAATATCTGTGTTTTCTGATATAGCAGGGGAACCACTCTATAGCAATGGATCTCACAGGTTGAGAACCACTAGCAGGGTCACCTAAAACCATCGGAAAACACAGATATTTACATTATAGTAGCAAAATTACAGTTATGAAGTAGCAACAAAAATAATTTTATGGTTGAGGGTCACCACAACATGAGGAACTGTATTAAAGGGTTGCAGCATTAGAAAGGTTGAGAACCACTGGTCTAACCCATCACTAGGGTGTTTCAATTAAAAATTTCTTTCAAGAACCTGGTCTATATGAAATTCTTATTACTGATTTGTATGTTCTGTAGATAGTTGAAAGATGCAGAATCGGGGTTATTCCATTTTTAGAATGGACTTATTGCTGGATGGGTGGGCCCTTGGGTCAGTGGTCAGTCTAGTATGAAAACTGACAAGATCATTGATCCCACAGGTATGTGACCATGAGCTCCAGTGTCAGTGTAAAGAAGGCTGGGCCCCTCCTGACTGTGCTGACTCCTCCTTGGTCTACCGTAGGTAACATTCCTTATCTAACCTGAGAAATTGCTTTCTTTTCCAAGTTTTTCTTTCAGATCACAAATGATTTCATCGCTTCTTTTCTCTCCTCTTGAAATTCTTGTTCTGTAAATAATGCATAATGTCAATCTTCAAAGTTTCTTTAACAGCTTTATTATTATTATTATTATTATTATTGATTTTTTACAGAGAGGAAGAGAGAGGGATAGAGAGTTAGAAACATCAATGAGAGAGAATCATTGATCAGTTGCCTCTTGCACACTCCCTACTGGGGATGTGCCCACAACCAAGGTACATGCCCTTGACCGGAATCAATCCTGGGACCTTTCAGTCCATAGGCTAATGCTGTATCCATTGAGCCAAACTGGTTTTGGCTAACAGGTTTTTAATCCAATTTTCCATATCCCTATGCATTTACTCTACATACAAACAAATATTTCTTCAAATTTGTAATCTTACTTTAACTTCCCAAATTCTCTTGTTTTCTGATTGTTCCATTTTCATACCAGCCTGGACTTAAAGTATAGATATAACATCTTCATAAAACTCTCTAAGAATATGATAAATTGTTTTTTGTAGATTTAATTCTGTGTACTAAATTATCTCAATTTCTTTTTAAAAATGTAGTTTTATATATTTCATAGCGGAAGGGAGAGAGAGAAACAACAATGATGAGAAAGAATCATTGCTCAGATGCCTCCTGCATGCCCCCTACTGGAGATTGAGCCCACAACCCAGGCATGTGCCCTAAACAGTAATCAAATCCTGACCTCCTATTTCATAGTCTGATGCTCAACCACTGAACCACACTGGCCAGGCTATACTATTTCTTCTGAGTTTGACCATTCAATTTTTTTCATCCTGTCTCTTGTATTTCATTGTGTTATTTTGCTTCAGAATATGTTGTCATTTGTTTCATATGAGATTAGATTAATTTGACTTAGTTCACATGGATTTTCTTTGCATGAGTGTGTGTGTGTTTGCTGTACCCATTAACCTCTCCTGATGGAAGATCGGCTGTGAGTTCCATCAGGGTGGGAAGCAGTGAAAGTGGGGATCCTCATCTCTAGTCATGATGGTGATAAAGAGCACTTTGCCAAGAGGAAAGTGGTATATACATATATATTGATTTTTTACAGAGAGGAAGGGAGAGAGCTAGAGAGCTAGAAATGTCGATGAGAGAGGAATACCGACCAGCTGCCTCTTGCACACCCCCTACCTGGGATGTACCCGCAACCAACGTACATGCTCCTGACCGGAATCGAACCTGGGACCTTTCAGTCCGCAGATCGATGCTCTACCACTAAGCCAAATCAGTTTCGGCGTAAAGTGTTTTTTATTTCATTTACCCTCCTGAGAGAGTTGGTTTTTCTTTGCACTCAATTTCTCCTTGACTCTTCCTTCGCTCTCCAATCTAGTTTGGTATCTGCCATTAGCTCTGTGCTGTTTCTCAGGCTCTTATGCCCCCATTGTTTCTAGAGAGTTCTCTAGAAGGGCTTTCTTTGTCTTGAGGCATAAGGTATTCTTATTCTATATACACAAGGGTTGGGCATGGGCCTAAATGAATCATCTGTCCCAAGTTCAGATCCTCTGTTGACTTTCCAAGAAAAAATGGCATCTATTTCTGATGTTTGGGCTAATTATGTTTTTAATTTTTTGATTCTTTGTTAGACTTCCCAAGAAGGAATGACATCTACTTCCAATATTTGAAGCTTTAATCTACTCTGTTTCTGTCCATATAAATCCTTTACTTCCTATAATTTTATAATTCTTTTCATTTTTATGGAAGGTGAAAAGTTTAAGATATTTGAAGTGAAATTATCATCTTACCTAGAATTTCTACTACTGCTGTCTTCATTTATGTGTGTTTATACTTGTGAACTTTTCTTTTTTTAAAATATATTTTATTGATTTTTTACAGAGAGGAAGAGAGAGGGATAGAGAGCTAGAAACATCGATGAGAGAATCATCGATCAGCTGCCTCCTGCTCACCCCCTACCAGGGATGTGCCCGCAACCAATGTATATGCCCTTGACCGAAATCGAACCCGGGATCTTGCAGTCCCCAAGCCGACACTCTATCCATTGAGCCAAACCGGTCTCAGCTACTTGTGAACTTTTCTTATACTAAAAAAATAATAATAATTTCATTGACCTGCTAATCTCTGCAATAAGAGAGTAATGCCTGTTTGATTTTCTCTTCAAAGCTGTATTTCCTGGTATCTGTAGTTTCTGATTATTATAAGAAAAGTGAATGTATTTTAAATACAAAAGATTGTAGTTACAGTGATTACTTAGATAAGCAGGTAAAAGAAAAGAGCACTATATAGAACCAAGAATTTTATGTAAACCATTCCCCAATTTTCAGGGACACATCATTTCTTTTATGTTCATAATTCTTCCAATATAGGGCAAATATCAGTAGAATACTTAGTTGTGTCTCTATTAGTTGCCTTACGTCTTAGCTCCTTATTTGCTACTGACAGGGATATGATTTTAAGGCTTAAGTTTCTATTTCCCTGTTTTATTTTAGCCTTGAGTTTGAAAAACATTTCACTCCTTTTATGCCATCTCCCTTACTTTATATTCTCTCTAATCTTCCAGTCATTCTTTTTCTAGTTATTACAACCATCATTGCTTCTGATACTTCTCAAGAGTATTCGCTTTACCTATCTCATACAAAACGTTTCATATAGATTTCCCCTCATTTATTCCATCTAAATGATATTTTACTAATCACAATCAAAATACATCTTTGTTTTACTGGCTATGAGAGATTTGCCAGAGAATGCATTTTCTCTAGGGAATGAATAGAGGAAATTTATGTGAAATAAAGAACAAGGACTAATGTGATAGATATGTATGTATTCTCAGATCCTCACTAAGCCTGGGTTCTCTTTGTTGCAGATTTCTCCATTGCGGTTGGGGTGCTGTTCCCTGTGGCTGTCATACTTGTGGTATGTGCTGTAGTATTCCGGCATCAAAGCACCAAAGGAAAGCAGAAGAAAGTCCAGAGGTAGGCTTTTATGGGGGCACTTTTGGGCCTCTGATGAACTTTAAGTTCAAAGATGTGACCCAAATTCTCAAATTTAAATTTGGTTTACGTCAAATACTTAGAAATAAGCCTGGCTGGTGTTCTCAGTGGTTAAAGTTTGACCCAGGACCAAGATGGCTCCATCCCCAATAGGGGGTATGCAGGAGGGAACTGATCAATGAAGTTTCTCTCTCATAGACGTTTCTATCTCTCTATTCCTCTCCCTTCCTCTGTCTCTAAAAACATTAGTAAAAACATGTATTAAGAAAAAAAATAAGTACAGATACATTTTACTTGAATCAGAGGCTGAGTATTCCTTTTACTGAGAAAACTTTCACAGTAAGGCCTGTCTTTTTCTCCTATAGTTACTGTATAAATGTTTAATAATAAGATTATAACTCCTTATTAAATATTTTGTACTCATTAAAATAATACAATATATAATATTTGATTATTATATTTATGATAAACACTTTTAGTAAGTCCTTTTACATACATTATCTCATGTAATCTTTGCAAGAATATCATGAGAGTAGTAACTATTATTTCTATCCTATAGATGAAAAGAAGTTATATATCAGTTTTACAACAATCATGCAAGGCTAGACACTTCAAATTTTACTGATATGAAAATAGAAGCTCAGAGAGGTCAATAAACATGTTCAAAGTTATATAAAGTAAGTGTTGGAGTATTGATATGAACCAAGATCAGTCAGTCTTTTGAAAATGGTCTTGACACTACAATATATTATATTTCTTGCATTAAAAAAAAGCAAAAACTTAACTATTTATCCAAAATGGCTATTAATAAAGAGTGAAAGAATAAGACAAATCATTAATTAGATGGCATAATTTAGATAAAAGTTGTATTCCACACCATCATTATTAGGATTAAGGGCTCTGCAAGAGAATAAAAAAGAAAATCAGCCCTAGCCAGTTTGGCTCATTGGATATAGCATCCACCTGTGGACTGAAGGGTCCTGAGTTTGATTCTGGTCACAGGCATATACCTTGGTTGCAGGTACATCCCCAGTAGGGAGTGTGAAAGAGGCAGCTTATTGATATTTCTCTCTCATTGATGTTTCTAACTCTCTATCCTTCTCCTTCTACTCTGTAAAAAAATCAATAAAATATAGTATTTAAAAAAGAAAATGAAAATCAGTGGTGGTAATGATGAATTACAGAACACAAAAACATGAAGGACATCCTAGGGAGCGGTGAAAACCCAGTCATTCACCAGTTATGGCACAATGGACAAAGGAAATTGGCAGATTTATCGTGAGTGTCTCCCCAATGGTGAACAAGCTGCTTGGTCAATTTGTATGCTATCCTTCCACCTACAGGCCACTGTCTGCCCCTGGCACCAGGCCAGACAGAGAGAAGAGGAAACCACAGACAATGAAGGCTCTTCATTGCAAAGAGGTGAGTCACAGTCTGCACTGTATTTGCTATGAACCCCAGTTTGTGATTTTCTCACTCTCTTGTGCTGACTACCTATCTATCATTTCTACTCATCAGTATTTTATAAATGTAAGACACTTCTGAGTATGCAGCAACGATTGTGGGCTCTGTAACTACACATTCCAAAAGTTGTCCTCTGCCTTTGGTTAAATGAAGAAGTCTCCCTAAAATGCAGAAACTCAGAGGGGATTCACAAAATGAAAACAGGATCAGAGAAAAAGGAGGGCAGATGTCAGATTTCTCTCTCTCTCCCCCTCTCTTTTTCTCTCTCTCTGTTGATTTATTATTCCTTTAAAAATATCCCAGTAAAAAAAAAATAATGCGTATATTTATATGGCAATATATGTAATATGCATATATGTATAATTCCTAATGCCTTGGTTGTGTCCTGCAAGTTTAGAAATTTTAGCAGACATTGGTTAATGATAATGGCATTGTTAATAATGTTTTTGATGGAGACTTACCAAACTCTGATAGCTCTGGACATAGCAGAATGCAGCAGCTGGACCACTGTGATGTTCCCATCTGGTCTTATGCTGTCATCATGGTCTTGGTTTCCAATGCCTTGAAAGGATTGCTTATTTGGAAGATGAACATAGGAAACTGATAAATTCATTTTTAAAAATATATTTTTCTTTTTAGAAAAGTCAGATGAAGCTTCACGCCCCTGACCTGTCAGTGGATGGCAGTGAGCCTCCAGCTTCTTTTGTGAGTTAACAATTTCTCTTAAATCACTTCCAGTCTAACATTAAGGAAGTAGTAGTGAGAGACACAACCCACAGGGCCCAATTGTTTCTTTAGGAGGATGTTAAAATCTGTGTGAATGTAATATAAAGTATAGATTCTTCCACACAACATTTTGAAAATGTCAAATTTAAGAATGTGTACCTGTCCATTATACTCCTAAATTTAACCCTTAAACCAGAATTACCAGGTCTATAACTCATTACAGGAAGGGTGCCAATCTTCTCCATAGAAAGGCATCCCAATCATATGTCTATTGGCATTGGACTTATTTCTCAATTGGATGTGTGCACCCAAATGAAAACAATTGAACTTACAGGTTTAGAACATTATCATGGCTATAGTCATAAATTCTCTGAAAATTATTTCTGAAAATAATTTAAGCCTTTCCATTAAGTGCATTTCTTTTTAAAGCCCAACGTTTGAATTTTTTTTTCATACCTCTTACTAGCTAATTACAAAGCCAGATTTCCCATCACCTCGGATTCTTACTTCTGTGTCATATTCTTCCTTCCTTGTAAGTATCAGATAGTTCCCCATGATCTTTAAAATGTCTCTTGTGCCAATGTGAAAAGATCTCTAAATCTATGGGTTCCTTATCAAGATATGTGCTCCCTAGGCTAATCTGAGATAGCGTAGCAAGTTCTATTATCTATAAATTATTGTGGGTATTAATTTATTATTATTAAAAACTGTTCTGTTATATAATTGTTAAATGATCAATAGTTCTGCTGTAGAAGGAAAAACTGTCTCCCTCAAAGGACAGTGTCCAGATGCTGATTTTGAGGATGTAAAATTGAATAATAAAATATATTTACTTTTTTATTTATTGTAAATAGAATAAAGCTTATGTTAGTCATAGTTTCTGTAGGAGGTAGGGCATGAAGAACAGACCACATATAGGCCAACATTGAATCAAAGTCAGGCACTCATGAAGTAAAAGGTAGAATTCATTCACTCAAATAGTAACTGTGCATATTTCCTCCTACTTGATGTTCTGCTATGGATAAATGAAAACATTAAAACTTAAGGTATTTTTTAAAAAGAATTTTTACAATGTTAGTAGGAAAATAAGTCAAATATATAGGAAGCACTTATTTGCTTATATATTATTTATGTCAAAACTGGTGATCTGGATGAGAAGAATATGGTGAGAGGGAAATGAATGGAGTCAGCGTGGTGAAAACAGGAAGAAGATCCATTGACTAAGTAGCTGGAATTTGAGAGTTAGGTAGAATTTAAATAAGTGCTGACAAAGTCAGGAATGATTAAAGAAAATAAGTATAGCTAAGATAGGAAATGCATAGCATTTCTAAAGTCTTACCATTATTTTTGTCCATGATATAGCATGAAGAAACCAAGGTCCTTTCCTCTACTATTCTCATGGATAAGCCAATGGCTATATCTAAGGTATGATATCCATAGCTAAACTATTATAATCATGAAGCACTCCTGATATCAAGGAGAGAATAACCATATTTCCCTAGAAGATGTTCACTAAGAATAATATCTGTATGATTATAGGATGGGTGCTAGCATATGTCTTTCTTCTGAGTTTGCCCAATAACCAAGAGGGAAAAGATGGATGTGTCTTACCTATGAAGTGATGTTGATCTCAGTATTATTCATTCTATCAGAAATATTCCCCAGGGATATTGAGATTATGGAAGTATCCATAGAATAATAATCACCTAGCATCTCAAAATATTTCTCCTGATTCCCCTCACCATCTCCATATTATGCTAACTAACTGGATGGGTATTTGTATTCCAGTGTGGTATTTTTGTTACCTTCTTTCCTTACACTTCCATTTTTCCACTTTTTTCCTGAGATGTATCAAATAATCCATAAAATAGAAAGTACAACTACAGATAATTAATTTTAACTTCTTAATATTTCAAAATTATGAGATATATATGTTTTTAGGAAAAAGTTGATCATTTAAGTGTATTTTTTTTTAGGGCTCCAATCCAAATGTCTGAAGCACCAGCTAAGCAAGGATCGGTGGGTAAATGATTAACTTGAAAGGTGGAACAATCTGGATAGAGGATAAATGGATAAATCTATGGACTAGTTTATGACTATTTGCTCTTGATACCCAAAGAGGTTAACATTTCTTCTTGATTCATGTAATACTTTGAAGAGATTAAATAAAAATTTTGAGATGTACTTTTAAGAATCTTTGAATTTAAAATTTATATTCTCCATTGGGAAGGATGATGACTCTACAGATAGAGCTATGAAGTGAAATTTCTAATTAGGTTTGGTAGGAATTAATTCACCTTCTAATGAAAACAAATAAACAAGTAATCAAAGAGAACTGGGGAGGATGGGAGAAAATAGTACATTTATCATTAGAAAACTAACAACAACTAAACTTTTCATTAACCTGTCAAATTAGAACCTTTGGTTAAGACAAAAAAATATATAACCATTTTCTGATTTATATAATATCTCTTTCCTAGATTATCTTCTATAATTCATATTAGCTGTGTAATTTGAGGTTTACTACAACTAAATAAACTTTACTAATAAAAATATTTTTCATAGAAATTTGTATAATTTAGTTACTGGCAAGGTTAAAGTGAGCTTCATTTTCTAAGTAAAAAACTTTCAGTTAAATAAAATTTAAAAAATTAGAGATTCTAAACTGGTAGCCTTCCAGACATGTATGAATTGCAGATTTATTCTTATTGGACCTGAATAATTTGGGCCACAAAGTATTTTTAAGTGTTCTGAATTTACTGCCAATATTTAAAAGTTGGGACATCTTGTATAAACATCCAGATTTCCAGCTTATTAAATGTAATCAAATGGTCTGTCAACACTAATCACAGGCTCATAGCAACCATCTGCTTAGTTGGCTGGTGATGGAGCAAACATCGCTGGTTGTCTGCCAAATAGCCCTCTTCTTTCTTATTTCCATAACAGCCAATTTGTTTAGTTGTCCATGTTTGAAAGGAATAATTCCAACTCACTTTAATGAGTAAATCTCTACTATTCTAAGTCAACATAAGAATCTAATCTCCCTAATAGATCAACCGAAGGACTTGTATACATGCATATAAGTTCAACCAATGGACACAAAACTCTGGGGAGGGAGGGCAAGGTTAAAATATGTACACAGATAATAATTTAATTTAAAAAATGTAAAAAAAAAAAAAAGAATCTAATCTCCCTTACTGGTGGTTGATTTGGAGGTGAGTGTAGCTCCCCTTGCTTTAGCCAGTGAGACAAGAGAGGAGTTATGCTTGGGAATTTCTGGGAAAGATCTCCTTGTTCCTCCTTCTGGGTGTTGGCATCTAGATATCCTGTCTGGTAGTGTCACAGCCATGTCGCAGCTATGAGGGCAAGGCTGATATACAGAACAAGGGAGAGCAGAAAGATGAAAAGAATAAAGCCTGGTCTTTTAATAACGTTATTGAAGTGGTAGATTAGTCACTGTTGAAGTCACCTCATGTTTTGTTGGGATTTCTTATTTATATGATCAATAAAATTTCTTGTTTAAGCAATTTCAAGTGGAATTTTCTCTTACTTGTAACAGAAGTCATATCAACTAATAAAATAGCTGCTCCATTATTACGGCCCATACTTTTCACTTTATCAATATTACTGTACATTTTTTATACTTGGCCTGCTGTACCCATTTGGAGCGCAGATCTGGCCTTATTGGCCTTCCTTTCCAGGATGGATTTTGCCCACAAGAAGTTCATTTGCCCTTGTAGTGTGAATTTCTAGACAAGTTCATTCTGGCCTCATAAGTGAAGCTCAATCCCCAGCAATCCCAGAGTCCATCTGTCAGATCATTGTCATTGTAGCAGCCTTTCTTTCCATGTGGGAGTTTACTCAAGAACACATTAAACATATTGCTTCATCTGTAGTGTGAGGTTTCAGAAGACCCTGCCCTCACCCAGAAATAAATTACTATTTGCATCAAGGTCATCATCTTACTTGTGATCTGTCTATTAATCTTCGCTGGTTTTTGTTGTTGTTATTTGATTTGTTGTCATTCATGTCCCTGTCTCATTCTTTTTTAAGATTGACAAAATGGGAATCTTGAACCTATAAATTTTCAACCAGCCACGTACATAACCTAAGCTAGAAATAAAACATAAGCTTTAAGGAAGTGGCACTAAGACATTCCTGTAGATTCTGAAAGATGGCACTGGGTCCTTGATGTTTATGGAGGATGACATAAAAAGCATTCTCTTTTCCTAAGGCTTTGAACTGAAGCCTTACAAAGTTTCCTGGTGGGCTGAACTATAGCCCAGTTTAGACACTTTAAAGCTAAGACTTTGATTTCACAGTCCTGTTTCCAAGTTAGATCTACATCATACTAACTTTAAGGAAATTCTACTAATAAGACCTTGAACCACCTCATATATGCCACCAAACCTTTTTTTTTATTAATTAGGTGTTATTACCTTTTCTACTTTTAAAAATTGTAACAGATTAAACTGTGGTCTTTTCAAGGTACTCTAGGACAGGTATACCATTAGTTATCTCTAAGTACTCCTTAGCACTTCAATCAGTTACTGCCTTTTATGACTTTGGGGTTGCTTTTAACTTTGTATGAAATCCTGAAGTATGCATAAAAAGGAAAGCAAGCTTTAGCTGCAAGCAGGATGGAGCTATGCTCTTATTTAAGTTGGTAATAATGACACCTATGTGGTAAAGAACTGAGGGTGACATCTGGCTAGCAACCAGTGAGAAAGTGAACACTTCAGTACAACAACCCTCAAAGACCTAATTCTGCCAACATCCATTGAATGAGCTCTCATCCCAATTGAATCTTGACTGACACCTTGGGAGACAAACTGAAGCAGAAGACTCAACTAAATTTCGTCCACATTCTACTACCACAGAAAGTGTGAGATAAAACTATGTTTTCTTTTAAGTCGCTCTGGTTTGGGGAAATTTGTTGTACAGGAAATGATCACTTTTACAAATGGGGTAGAGTTCAAATGCTTCAAATATTCCAGACTGGTTTATATAGACTTAACTATTATATTTAATAGAATTTCCATCATCTCAAAAATGTTTTTCTTTCTTCATATTCTCTTTCATTTATCCCTTTCTCTTTTTTTATGAGTACTGATTATCTGCTTTAGATCACTGATATCCAGTCTTCTCAAATATCATGTTCTTTCTCACTTTTCTTTGCCTATTTTTGGGGGCATTTTTTGATGAGTTCCTTAATTTTAACTCCAAAGTTTTTGATTTTATGTTCAATACTGTCAATGCTCATTTTGTACTAATTTTAAGCCATTTTATAAATGTTTCTCATCTTTGCTTAGTAACGTTCTTTTCTTTTCTCACATTAGTTTTATAAAGGCCTGCCAATTATCTTTTTTCCTTTTGATTCCACAATTTTAATTCTAAAATGAAATTAGCAAAGCCCATTTCGTCTAAACTTCATTTGTGTGTCTCAAAGGAACTATACTTCTAAAATGATATCTTCCTCAGCCATTTGAGTACTATGCTCCTGAACACTCAGCAACACAGGTATTTCCACGTGGCTCACATTTGTGTTTTAAAAGTTTTATTTTAACCTGTAAAATATTCTCACATTTTATACATTTGATGATCTATTCTATCCCCTGCCCAGGTTGTTTTTCGTTGTAAGCTAGGTCTGTCTACCAGGGCCTGACAAGGAGTGGCATAGTCTTGTTGGTGATCTGGAGATCCAGCTCATCAGGAAAGCTCCTGACTCATTAGAGGGAAAGCCTCAAACAATATAATTTGCAACCATCTTGGCATATTTGCTCCTGAATTTCCCTAGTCTTTTCTGCTGCTTCTAAAAAAAGATCTTTATTTGGTAATGACCACTTTACATTGCTTAACAATTAGTGTGGGTTGTTTGCTATGTTGCTCAGTTGACACTATTACTCTTATTACTAAGCTAAGTAAGTGAGACTGTCATGGACACTAAATCTCTAAGCAGAGGAAAATGACGGTATGTAATTTATGAAGGCATAGAACTCTTTTCTCTCACACTTAGTATTGAATCTTATATCCTCTCTTTAAAATAAATTAAAATAATATATTATATGCCTTGGCCCAGTAGCTCAGTTGGTTAGAACATCATCCCAATATGCTATGGTTGCAGGTTTGACTCCTGGTCAGGGCACATACAAGAATCAACCAACGAATGCATAAAGAGGAACAACAAATTGATGTTCTTCTCTCTGTGTGTATCTCTCTTCCTCTCTAAAATAAATTTTTAAAAAGTTAAAAAAAGAGAATATATTGTGGTAAGAGCACAACATGGGATCTACCCTTTTAATATATTTTAAGTATATAAAACAATATTGACATATATAAGCACAATTTGTACAGCAGATCTCTAATCTTGTTCACCTTGAATAAATAAAATGTCATGCCCTTTGAGTAACAAATCCCCATTTCCCCTTCCCAATCCCTAGAAACTACATTCTAAGCATTTCTTCATAAGATTAGCTATTTTGATATATCATATAAATGAAATCATGCAGTATTTGTTTTCTATGATTGGCTTAGTTCACTTAGCATAATGCCCTCCAGATTCACCTACGTTGTAGACATGTTTCATTTATTTTTTAAGGCTGAATAATATTTCATTGTATCTATATACCATAGTATTCAACTAAATCCATTCATCCATTCATGGACATTTGCACTATTTCTACATTTCTGCTCTTGTGAATCAACAAACATGGGATTGAAAATAACTCTTTAAGATCCTGATTTCAATTTAGATAAATATACAGAAGTGGGGTTGCTAAATCATGGACAGTTCTATTTTTAATTTTTTGAGGACTCTGCATATTGTTTTCCATAGTAACTGTACCAGTTTGCATTTCCATCAACAGTGCAGAGGTGGTCTCTTAAAACCACACCCTCACAAACTCTTGTTTTTACGATCAATTTAATGATAGCCATTCTAACAAGTGAGAGGTAATATTTCATTGTATTTTTAGTTTGAATTTCCTAAATGATTAGT